TCCTTGATTGTGGGACATAAGCAATTTTGCTTTCATGGAGCACTCTGCAGCAAAGCTGTCTGAACAAGTTGTTTCTGGGCATGTAACGAGTGCTTCCTCTGCCTCCAAACACCTGGGGGCATGGTAAAGGCCAGAATTTGAGCTTTGAGACGGGTGGAACTCCTCTTTTGAGCCACGTGGCATACCCACTCCACAGAGGTGGCGATAAGGGAGGGATTGGTGGGGATTGCGGATGGTTAGTGGATGTGGACCCACCAGGAATGGGGTCTCATGCCGGCACCTAAGAGGAAGTTGGTGTAGTGGTGCATGCAAGATGAATGCTGTGTGATCCATGTCTGGGAGGAAAGGGTTTATTGTGCAGCATTATCCTGTGGCCAGAGCATTTGAAGTGTGTGTGTGTGTGTGTGTGTGTGGAGGGGGGTCCTTCTTTCTCTGTTTGCTTTTTTTTTTCACGTTCTCATCTTTAGGAGTCTGAGCTTGCTAACCCCCAGATCCCAGAATGTGAAATCACCCTTGTTCATTAGCAGATTCCCCCTAAAATTTGGGTTCTCCCTGATGTGTTTATACTTTTTCACCCCCGTCCACAGCCTCCTGGCTGGCTTTTGGCAGGCAGGGACAGGAACTTAACAGAGCTCTTTAAATACTTGCAGCGTGGGCAGAATTGCCAGGACCTCTCAGTGTGTGTTTGTGTGATTGCTTAGATCTCCTCAATCCCCCGCCCTTTTTAAAGAAACAACTTTGGATTTTATTATCCATCCGGCCTCAGCAAAGCGCGGTGTCAAGATTGTTGCTTAGTCTCTGAACTAGAGTGGTAAACTCTTCAGTTTTTAAAATTGATTCTATTGAGGCACATATGGTTTAATTATAAAAATGTGCTGTGTGTTATTGTATCCCCTGAATAATGGACTATTGCAAGCTTCTCTGTCACTCTTCCTCATCTGGTGTTGGCCTAAGGACTGAAAATTATCTGCCTGAGTTGGTGACTAACTTGTGCAACTTCTGCCAGGGAAAGGTAATCCTAGTTTGGGGTCCTTGAGTCCAATGTGGCAACAAATTTCATGGCAACTGAGTTTCTTTTGTAGGTCTCTAGTGCACTTGAACTTGAGAGCAGGTGACATGTTGACAGCTGACAGTTGTCATAGGAAAGGAATTCTTTTCAAATGGTTTTTGACAGGGCTAAGCAGGTTTTGTCAGTTTTTTTTGTTTGTTTTGACAGGGACATAAACAGATTTCAATGCTGTCAAAAGCCCATGTTAATCATGTTTTTAAAAAGTCAGTCCTGTCAAAAACCTTGTTTTAAAAGAAATACTTTCTTTTCACAATTGTAAGCTGTCAAAATGTTATTTCCCTCAAGAACAAGATGGGCTTAAACTTGGAGGTGGGGAGCACTGAGAGCTGTCAGGTCTGTGCATACAACCCAGAAGATCTTGCCACAAAGGAGCTGATGTGCATGCCATTTTCTTTCACAAGCAAACATCACTCACAGCTTTGTTTACAGTTGACAGCTGTCAGGGGAAAGTCAAGCAAAAAATTGATCTGTCTGCAGCCTTGTTTTCTCAATGTTCCTACATGTGCTTTGACACAAGTCATTTCCCCGGGTGAGACTTTACATTTTGGACCCTTGCAAGTGCTCAGTTGCACGTCTGCAAAAGACCAATTCAGTAAAAATACAGTTCACACAAATTTTAGGGTTAAGCAAAATACAATCTCAGCATCATCTGTCCTTAGGTCTGTTCAGCTCTGAATCCTCAGCCCTGTTGCTTCATGGAAGACTTGCCCATGGGTGGAAATTGTCCCACAGATGAAGGACTGTGTTGTGAGAGGAAGAGGCCGCAGCCCAGACTGGTGAATTGAGCCCCGTACTGGAGGGGTGGGTAACCTCACAGGCCTCCTGATTGGCAGAGCTACAGCTCCCATGGTGGTAGCACTGGGAGCAATGGAAGTTGTAGTCCAGCACTTCTGTGGGAACACCCCTAGATGGGTCTCGTGACAGCACAGGTCCAGTACTTTTGTTCAAAGCAGAAGCCATGATGTGGAAGGTGGTGCTTACTAGCGTTAAAAACTTGGCAGGATTGGAAAGCGGGACATGTTTTATTCGTTAATTTACCTGGCAAGGGTCTGTCTTTGTTTTAAAAGACACAAAATTCTGCTCCTTGCATTGAATGCGTTGGAAAAAGCAAAACTGTGTTCGAAGCAGATTCGTTGGAACCGTGAAGGATTTGTCTGGACGCTTTCTGGTCCGTTGAATCTGTTCAGCATAGCGCCCCACCCTTACAGAACCTCTGTGAGGCTTCATACAATGGATCCATATGGCTACTGGCATTTTTGGAGTCTCCTTGCGGAGGGGGGCCTTGGGTCTTACCGCGATCAGCCCCTGCACTCCAAAATGCACCTCTGCACCCTAACAGAAAATGATGTGGCATCGCCTAAGGTTCTGATAGCCGAAGGTCACTTTTTCGTTCTGAATTGCCAAAATGAGACTGTTCGCTCTGCACCCTTCTAACGGTTCATTTGTTCATCCTCAGTGGGGTCTCCCTGCCTCTTTCTGCATGGGCCACTAATCGGAGCAGACTTCTTGATTCGGTTTGAAGATGCAACAGGCGGTGCTCTCGGGGGGAGAATTTTCCAGTTATACCTGTGGCAATGAAGGATTGGAATGATTCCCCTACCCCCCCACAGTGCAAGATTCAGTATAGAAATGAAATAAATAATAAAATAAATCATCCAGCGAGCTTATGGAAATGAAACTAAGAAGTAGACGCAGCAGGGGTTACCGATGGGTTTCGTCTCATGGTTTCCTTTTTATTTTACTGTGGCAGATAGGATTTGGTGAAAAGCTGGGCTTAGATCAAGAGCCTTGGGGGCTCATGAATTTCCATAGTGCCCCCCCTCGTATGATTTCTTCCTGGATCACTTTGGAGGCGTTAGCTGAAGATTTTGGGGGCACCTTTCTGTGCACATATACACACACTCAGGAGCAAGCCTGAAGGACCTGGGACCGACTTCCAAGTAAACCAAGGCAGGATCAGGAGGCCTTGCAACTGCGAAAAAGCACTAAGGGGGGCTGTAATTGGGCTGGGGGGGGGAGGCATCTCCGCTACCTCCCCCCCTCCCTCCCCCCAGCTGCAGTCTGGTTGTCCTAGACATTTCCACCCCAGCTTTAATGGACGGAATTTTCCAGCCAGTTTTTCTGCCAACCTCCTCTTCTGCAAATAGTCCTAGAAATTGTGCTTAGAGGAGTGCAGTTGCTAAGGCCACGCGCACCTAAGTACATATGTGTGTGCATGCGTGCAAGTGTTGCATTTTCAAAGGCGGTTTCAGCCCACCCAGTGTTTGCCTAGCTGGCTGCCTTAATGTCTTCCTTAACCTTTTTCTTTTTGCCTGCTTTGAATTCACGAAGCTTGGAATCCCCTCTTGTCTCGCTCTCTCCCCCCATGGCAGCCCCTTTCCTGTGTTTTTGTTTGTTCCATATTTCATTAGCTGAGGCCCAGAAGGGTTTGGTTTCTTTTCTGTTAGGGGGTCCGTCTGTCTGACTGCTGAGCTGATTTAATAGCCAGGAAGGGGAGTGCCTTTGGAAGGAGAAGTGGAGTGTTTGCTCCAAGGATCTGTTGCTCATGAGCCTTACTTCAACAGTTATATATCTAGGTACAGCACTGAAAATTGCGTGTAGAATAAAGATAATTTTCTAAGTAGAATAAATAGCACAGGTTCTGTGTGTCTTTTCTGTGTGTGTCTGTGTGTCTTTTCCTGTTGTATGTGTGTGCCTTTGTTTGTGTGTGTTTGATCTTACTGCATCACTTGGGACCCAATATTCACAAGAATTTAAAATGTTTTACTCAGGGTAAGGCGAGTGGAGGAGGAGATTTAAAGCCATGAATTCAGAGCCACTGAGGTGTTGCTTTTGCACTTCCCCTCACTTTCCTACTTTTCTTCAGTTTCTGAGTTTGCCTGTGTTTGCTCACAAACTTTCAGTCTAATCTTCACAGCCACATGGACTGGGAACTTGATTTTTCAAAAAAATGAGTGAGAAAATACTCTCAGGCAACAGGCCCCTTATGGTACGAGTGGTTCATGCTTGTATGGTGGATCTGCAGAATGTGCTCAGCTTTGTGAGTCACCTTGGGACATCAGCAGGTGCCTAGTTAATGGGCCATGTTCATACATAATGGGGATTTTAAAGCTAGGCTTCCCGGGCCACGTGGGAGGGAGGGAGTCATTCCTCTTCCTCCTCCTCCTCCTGATTTTGGTGGAAGGCTTAGGTAAAAGGAAGTACTTCTTCACACAACATTGTTCTTTGATTTTTATCCTACCTTTTTTCTTACAAAGAAACAAACGTATAGTTAACCCATGGAATTTGCTGCTGCAGGAAGAGGTGACGGCCACCAATTTGCATGAGTTGAAAAGGGGAGTTTAGAGATTCATGGAGGAAGAGGAGGTTATCCGTGGCCACTGTCCCTCCCTCACCAGAGGCTGTGTGCTGGTATACCCCAGTTGCGGAGGAGCTTTGGTGGCAGGGGTCTTATGCCCATCCTGCACGGGGGATGCTGTGGGCAGCTGGTTTGCCACCGAGAGCGCGGAGTGCTGGACTGGACGGACCTTAAGTCTGATCCAGCAGGGCTTTTCCTATGCTCCTGGGTTACTTGATCCAGCGTTCGAACCAGAACTCTGGGTTTTTTGTGTAACAGCCAGTCCAGATTTGAACCCAGCAACAAAACATGGGTTCAAACTCATGCTTGTCCCTCAGCAATCTAAAGTTCCAGGTCCGGATGTCGTATCAGGAATGGGACATTCCTGGGTTGTTTGAAGAATGAGATGCAAGGAAGAAGCGGGCAGGGAGGCCGTGTATCTGCTCCTGAGCTTGCCTGACAATTCATGAATCAATTCGCCCCTCTGTGTAACCGGATGCAGGTCTGTGTATCCAGTTAGCTGAGTCTCATCTGCACTAACTTTGGGGCGGGGGGGGGGGTCTTCTGGTGTTTTTAGCCCTACCTGCAGATGCCAGTGGTTGGACCTCTGACTTTCTGCATGCAAAGCAGGGCCTTTCCCACTCAGTGGAAGCAAAACAGCCCAGAAGAACGTAACAGGGCCTCTCTCCCATGCCTACAGAAGGAAAGTGGGAATGTTGTTTTGATGTTGCATCGTGGGAAACTGAGCTGAAGGGGCTTAGAACGTAAAAACATCCCTCTTGAGGCTGTTGGGCAAATGTACCTGTTGCTCAAGGCAGCTGACTGGTGCATTGACAAAACACCTGGTTGTATGCCGCAGGCGATTCAAGCCATCTGTTTGGAAGCAGGTAAAAATTAATTCAACCATCTCTTTATTTCTGACAACCAACTTTGCTTTTCCAATTTCCCTCCTCTGGAGTACTCTGGTATTCCTGGGTCTGCGGCAGGCTTGCGGCAGGCGGAGAAAACGCACCTGGAAAAGGTTGAGCTGGGCTTCAGTAGTAGGAATTGAGTTCCTCTGGCTTGTCCGGGTACCACTGAAATGTTGCACAGGGAAGGCTCTTGCCCAGCCCAGTTTTGTTGATGTTGGCCCAGTTCACACAGTAAGGCAACTCAGATTCATTTGTGAGCGCAGCTGACCAGAACCTGGGGTCCTCTTTGGGGGTCCTTCGCCAAGGGCCCCTTCCGAAGGAAGTGCGGCAGGAGAAGGGCCTTTTTGGTTGTGGCACCCCATTGTGAAACGGGCTCATTTTGAAAGAGGTGTGTTGTTACTTTGTGTTCTTTTTGGTGCTGAATGGAGACCTTTTTCTTTTCCCAGCATTTTAGCAATCTAACTTTTCAAGTTCATTTTTATATATCCTCTTTTTAATGTACTGCTGCTATGCTTCTGTGCTGAATAATATTTATTATATTTCTACCCCACCCATCAATCCACAGACTCCCTGAGCAGTTTACAAAATCACAATTACAGTGTTATAAAGCACACATGATGAAAGCACAATGGTGCAGTTTGTAAATACAATAACACAATAATCCGCCCTCCACAGCCACAGCTTAGAAACATCGTGAGTCAGAAGGGGTATCCTGGGTCATCTAAAACAATCAGCTAACAGCTAAAGCAATCTCTGAAGTACAGTAAAATATAATCTAAGTATTAAAACATTGGTGCTGAAAGGAGGAAAGAGCAGGTGCCAAGTATATTTCCCTGGGGAGCTGATTCCACAGACGGGGTGTCACCACCGAGAAGGCCCCTCCTTGCTTCCTTTGCGGGGGGGGGGGTTCTATGAGAGGGACCTCTGGTGATGAGCTCAGGGTTTGGAGAGGCACATGCAGAAGGAGGCGTTCCTTCAGGTCATCCTCAAACCATTTAGGGCTTTCAGTGTTAATGATCGCTCTTTGAACCGTTCAGTCAGTAACCAGTGCAATTGATGGAGGACTGGTGGATGGGCTTGTGTCCGCCAGTCCCCGCGAGCAGCCTGGCTGCTCTCTTTCACTTCAGCTGTAGCCTCCGGACTGTTTTCAGAGGCAGCCCCACGTCGAGCAGTGACAACAGTTCAGACAAGGGGCTGCCAGAACTGCTGTGGCCGGGCCGGGCCGGGCCCTGCCCGCCAGATAGGGCCAGAGCTGGTAAATCAGCCTGAGCTGACGAAGGGTGCTCCTGGTCACCGAGCCCACCTGTGACTCCAGTGACAGTTCGGGATCTGCGTGTCGGAGCACCCCCAGACTACGAGCCCTGTCCTTTAGGGAGAGCACAGCCTCATCCAGGACAAGTTGGATATTTCCCAACTGGGCAGATGAGGCACCTGCCAACAGCATCTCCATCTTGTCTGGATGAGCCTCTGTTCATCCAGTCCGTTACCAGGCCCAGGCACTGATTCAGAACAACTGCTGCCTCACCTGGATTTTCTCACCTGGATGCGAAAGAGGCAGCGCTGAGTGTCATTTGCATATTGGTGACACTCTGGCCCATATACCTCCGGATAACACCCCTAGTGGTTTCATGTAGATGTTAAAGAGCATGGGAGATAAAATAGCAATTGCCATTGTGGTTTGGCACTCTCTCCCTCTCCCCCACCCTTGTGTGTGTGTGTTTAAAACATTTGCTGTTTTAACTTTTCTTAACCTCCCTGAGTGCCTCAGCTATTGGGTAGTATAAAATGAATTAAATAAAGAAATAATAAGTGTGCTGGCTCCTGTTTTCTGAAACAGGCCAGGAATGTGTATTGGCTTTTGGGGGTCCAATTATTTAAACCTAAACAACCCCAAATGGAAGCTTTGCATGTTGGGACACCAAACTAGGAACTGAGGATTCCTGGATCGTTTCTGCATTGTCAAGCAGAAAGGGCGAGCCGAGGGGAGTGAGCTCAGAGTTCCTCCTCATGCGTGACCCCAGGTTGCTGACCGGAGAGGACTTTCCAGGGTTTATATTGCAGCTCTCTCCAGCAGTTCTGGGGATTGGGCCTGAACCTGATGGGTGACTCACTCTTTTTGGACTCTTTTTGTAGGACTAGAAACTAATTTGAAGCACCACAATTCAGAGGATCTCTTGTACTGTGGCTTATTCCAGGGTTAGGGATGTGCTGTGTGGCTCCCGCCCCCAGTTCTTGGTATCACTGCTCCAGATTATTCTGGGCTAAGAGAATAAGTTACAAGTTGTTGCCGCTGCTGCTGTTTGTCTTAAAGCAAGGAGAGTTGTTCAGCAAATTGACAAATAACTTAGTTTCCCTCTCCAGCCAGGGGAAGAAAGTGTTTGTTTCCTTGACCAGGATGATTGGCGTCGTATAAATTTTCTGGCAGAAATAACCTTCTTTTACTGGGAGAAAAGAAAATGCCGGCTTATATTAGGAAAGCAGGAGTCTCCTCACACACCGTCCCAACCCTGTCCCTTGAGCCACTGGCCTTATATTTTGATCATGAGATGCTTACTGGTGTAGAAACAGAGTTCGTACGCATCTCATGGCCTGTGTGGATTCCAACTTTATGTTTTCCTGTGTCTGATTTCAAAACAATTCAGCTATTGTTAGGTGGGGCTTAGTATCAGTTGCAACTATGCTGATACTGATTTTTTTAGCTAGATGACTAACGAGGCTGTAAAAGTTCTACTTAAATGCTTTATTCTCATTTAAACGTGTCCAATTTCAGCTCCAAACCTGGACCGTTCCTAGCATTAGGTTTGATTCAGCAGGTCCCACATTTCTGATGACCTCTAATTTTAGTGGCTTCCCTTGACAGAAGGAAGAGGCCCAGGTTTGCCGGTCCAAGAAATGGTTTGAGAAGACAGGATCGTTGCCCTGGAGAGCTTACCGTCTGAAATGAAGGAAAGGCGAGAGAGAGAGTGATATTCTCTTCTTGTGTGTGTCCGTGTGGTGGTGGCAAGCCTCACGGGACGTGGGCGTAGGAGTGTGGAATTGTGTGAAAGACTTCACAGAAACAGGGTTTCGAGGGAGCACGAGATGGCAGCGCGCTGGTGTTCTGGAGGACGGCGCTGGGCCTACGGGGAGAAGTGTGGTGGCTTGGAAGGACTTGCGGCAGTGGAGCGTGTGGGGGTGGAAAGATCACAGGTGGAGGTGAGCACAGCCATGATGGGCTTCGAAGGTAATGCGCAGCTGTCGGTGGACTAAAATTTTCAGAGAGTCACTGCTTGGTTGGAATCGTTAGCAGGCTGGTTATGGGGACAAAAGCAACACTACTGGAGACTTCGAGGACGGAGACGCACGCCTGCAGGTGCCTTGGGCCCTCTGCGGCTTTGCGCTGTGCGTACGTCAGGCCCGTGGCTTGCCTGCACCTCACAGGAAAGGAGGCCGCTGAGGCGTCGTCTGGCACCCGAATGGTTAAGCTGCCGGCCCGCGACTGCACACAGACAGCAGGTGCCTCTCCCTGCGCTGTGCCGTCTTTGTGGGTGCCCGTCGAGAGCCTCCTTGAACCCAGCTCAGAGAACCGCCTGGGTTTCAGCATTTTCTCCGTGGCTCCCAGGCAAAGAGGACAAAGCCTTTGCTGTTCTGCCCTCTCTTCTCCCAGCACATGCCCATCGGGCACCAGCATGACCAGGCTCTTCCCGCGGCACAAGGGCCCTCTCCACCCCAGCCGCCTCTTCGGGCTTCCTGTGAAGCCTTTCCACTGAAATCGGGGGTGCGAGACCCTTCCCAGCAGCAGCTTCCCCCGGCTCCGTGCCGCTGCCGCCGAGGGAGAATCTCTTTTTCTGATCAGCAGCTGATGGAAAATTTCTGCCACTCAGCGCTGAAAATTGCTCCCTTTCTTGGTGCCCAGCCTGGGAGGCCCTACTCGGCTGCTGGTTTGATTGGCACCTTTCGCTGTTGGGGAGAGGGAGGGGCCTCCGCCTGCTTCCTCATTAGCCTTGGTAGAGTTGCGTTGCTGAGCCTTGATATTTGAGGCGTTTTAAGTGCTGCCGAGTGAGTTGGCCCTGTTTACTTCTGAGTAGGAATGCCTGGGGATGTCCTGCTCAATGGCGAAGGCCGGGCCTGTCTAAAGGCCCTCCGTGATTCTTCCCTGCTTATACCTGAGTGGACATGCAGCTTGCCCGGCTGCTCTCGCTTACTTCGGAGTAGACACACGCTTTCCGTGGATGATGGAATCTGGCTGAGGAGCCCTCGATGAATCCCTTTCACTTTGGCCTGTTCCCACACCTTGGCCTTGGAAAGGCGCAGCGTGGTTCTCCAGAGACGGCATTCAGCCACTGTGCTGCACAGACTGCCTTGGAAGCTCAGGTCTGCCCTTTTGAGGCCAGAGGAGCCTGGCATCTGCAGCCTAGGATGGGGTTTAGACATAGAAAAACATAGAAACAGAGCGAGTCAGAAGGGACCTCCTGGGCCATCTAGTCTGACCCCCGGCTCCGCTGACAGCATGCCCACCATGTGCATGTCCAGCCTGTCCTTGAACACCCACATTGATGGGGCCTCAACGACCTCCCATGGACGCCCATTCCACACCCTCAGGGTCCTAACCGTCAGGAGGTACTTCCTGGCAGCCACCCTAAATCTTGGTTCCCTGAGCATTGCTCCATTAGAACCGTCCCTGCCCTCCACTGCAGGGGAAAAAAGGTCATGATCCACCTCTGAGTGACACCCCCTCACGTACCTGTGTGTTGCTAACAGGTCCCCTCGGAGTCTCCTCTCCTCAGGGCTGCAGCGAGCCAGCTCCCTCGGTCTTGCCTCACACGGCTTACCCTGCAAAGAAAGCCAGTGTTACTCAGTGGCTAGAGCGCTGGTGTGGGGCTTGGGAAAGGGGACTCAGGGATAGAAGAGGGCCTGCCATCGTCTGTGGCCTGATCCTGCTGACAGGATCTGTTGCGGATTGAACTCGGGGCCCTCTGCGTGCACAGCAAGGGCTCCATCGCTGAGCTCCGGGGACCAGCTCTGTGGAAATGGGACTTCGGAAGGCAGGGAGGAGTGGGGCGCCCCGACTCCCTGGCATGGCCGAATGCTTCTTGGGCATGCGCTGCAGCAGAGGTCTGTTGGTGCACCCCCGGCCCCCGCCTTGCGTAATGGGAAGCAGGCAGCAGCCGTGGTGAGGCCGTCGGAGAGGCAAGGTTGGCAAGAGATGTAACATTCCCAGACATTTTGAAGCTGTGGGCAAGAAACCAGGGGTGTCTGCAGCAGGAGGAAAATGGGGTAGAGAGTGCGTGTGCGTGCAGCCCCGTCTGGATAAAGCTAGACCTGCTCCACTGCTTTAATAACATTTGCTTTATATAACTTGGCTCATAGTGATGGTTAAAAATATAAATGGCTTCATTAAAAAAAAAAAAGAACAGGCATACCCAGAGTTAACTGAGAAGGAGTTCTTGTCCTTTGGAAAAATAGGGAGGAAATACAAGCCATGAATATGGTAGTAAACAAAGGAAGAATTACTTCTCTGGGCTTTAAAACATGCTCTCGGTGATGATGCTGGGCAGGAAGAGGCGAAATGTTGGTTTCTGGAGGTCAGAAACACAGAAAATAACCCTCTTGTAATGTATTTGTGCATATTTAGTTACACTTCATAATATTACTGAAGCGCTTACTCTTATTTTATCTATGCGCACAGAGGCAGGATGGTCCCGTGGTCACAGAGAGCCTCTGCGACAGCCATTGGGTTATTTGGAGTTGCGGGTTTGAGACCAAAGCTGGGACCATGAGCCCAGAGGGGACTCTGCCTCCCTTAACCGGCTGCTTCTTCAAGGTCACGGCAGTGACCTTGACAGAGAGCTTGAGTCGGCGGCGAGGAGGGAAAACGCCCCTGCCAAGACGAGGCGTCCTAGTGGCACTCGAGCCGCCTTCCCTTGGCTGCCAGAGGTAGCACTTCGCAGAAGCCGGACATCTTAAGCATCTTGCAGAGTGGTGAGCTCATGGAGGCAGCCAGCCTTATGCCACTATAATGATATAGTTAAGAAGTCTGTGGATTTATTGCCCTTTAAGGAGCTCAGGGTTGCAAGCGTGGCTCTTCCCTTCTCCATTTTATCTTCAAAGCAACCCTGTGAGTTTGGTTAGGTTAGGAGGGAAAGAGCCCTCGTGCCTAGGGAGCTTCATGGCTGAGCTGGGATTGAAGCCAGATCTCCCCAGGCTGAGTCCAGAGCTCTGCACCATCCTGGCTTATTGAGATTACTAGGTGCACTAATTAGACTCTGCCTAAAAGATCCGCCGTTTCTGCCTCTGAACTTTCAGGCTTAGCTTCTGGTACTTCTGGGAGATTTGCGTGTATTGAAACCTGCTGAGTTTGTTCCTTGATCCCGTGTCCGCATGTGAATATGCACAAAGACAGAGGAATCCAATGCAAGTGATGTCCAGCAGTTGCTTTGTACACAGACTTTGCTCCTGCCTTGCCCGAGCAGTGCCCGTAACATGGCTGTGCGCGGCTCTCCTGAAGATGCCGTGTTTTCATCGGCTGCTGAGAGAACCTTTCCAGCACCACGTGCTGCAGGGTCAGCTGCCCAGTCAAGAGCGGTGATGCTGTGGGCTTTGTAGCCGAGACGTTTGCAGCAGTGTGGACAGACCCTGTAGCTCATCGTTTGAAAGCAGTGCTTTTAAAAAGCATTTATTGGGTTGGTTGGTTTGTTTAAAGCTTTTCTGTTACCGCCCTCTTTCCAAGAGTCTCAGGACAGTCTTGCAATAAAAGAAAGTCAAGCACAGCATCATCTTCTGTAAAGTCCCAATTAAAACAATAATTTAAACCTTAACATATTGGGAAAATAAAAAGGTTTTGGCCTGGTGCTGAAAAGAATAAAGTGTTGGTGCCAGACAAACCTCTCTGGGGAGGATAGTCTGGTTCATGTAGAAGCCTAGAGTAGTGTGGGGTAAGAGGGAACAGCAGCAACAGCGTTTCTATACTGCTGAAGCTCTCTGGATGGTCCCCAACATTTTAAGTCACACATCACAACAATCCAGGATTGTGGAGAGATTTGAAGGAGCAGTTTCTCTCTCGAGACTCCCCCTCCTTCTTTTGCTTCCCTAGGCAGCCCCCCTCCATATCGACGCCCATGGGCTCCCCTGCGCAGGCAGTGTCACAGTTCTCACGCCCACCGTGTCTGTGCCCTTGTAGGTAGATTCCATGCTTTGTTTTCCATTGCACGAGGATCTAGTGCCCCCCCCATCCCCAGTATTTGAGCACCTCTTGGGATCTTTCCAATAGAAAACAAAACAAAGATGAGAGTTCACATTCCCAACTGCATAACAACTTAGTTTTCATGGCAGGGCGCATTCTTTAGAGCTGCACAGCCGTCCCTCTGCATGTCGGAATGAGCCCTGCGGTAGAGCAGAATCTCCCCCCCGCCCCCACTGCTCCGACTGCTGGAAACCCCTTTGGGCTTTGAGACACCTTTGAGATGTCGCCAGGTGCTCACATCTGTTCAGGCTCCTTGGTGACCTCTTGAGAAGCACCGCCTCGTTTTCGAGCACTGGAAGGCCATGAGCCGATTGCTGGTCGCCTTCATGGTCGCCAACATTTCTAGCCTGGCGAGACAGGAAGGGCATCCTTGTCTGTACCTGGCTAAGGTCAGAGGCCTCAAGATCTCCCTTCAGTTGTGTGTGTGTCTCTCTCTCCCTTACCCCCAGTCCTTGCACTTAGGGGAGGTGCACATCCTTTTCATTGCAGGTGTGAAGTGCAGGTTGTGTGTCTGGATTCTGGGTGTTGATGTGATCTGATGTCCGTAGTGTCAGAGGCACCTCATCCCAGTGGCCTGTTCTGGCCATCGGGGCTCTGAACCTGTAAGCGCCTCACAGCACCCGTCTCTCTTCTCCTTTTTCCCTTCCAGCACATGGTGATGAGCTTTAGGGTGTCCGAGCTCCAAGTGCTCCTGGGTTTCGCTGGCAGAAACAAGAGTGGGCGAAAGCACGAGTTGCTCACCAAGGCTTTGCAGCTGCTGAAGTCTGGCTGCAGTCCAGCAGTCCAGATGAAAATCAAGGAGCTGTACCGGCGGCGGTTTCCCCGAAAGATCCTCACCCCTTCGGACTTATCCATGCTGCACCTCCAGGCGGGACAGCTGCCTTCGGCCACAGCGCTGACCCAGGGCGCCATGTGCCACCTCCCCTACGACAACGGATCCGTGGCCTCCGCCGTGCCCGCCGGCATGTTGCCCCCGGTGCCGATGTTGGGGCCCAAGCATGAGACAGATGTTCCGCACCTGTCGCCGCCCATCCACCCAGTCCATCCGGATGTTAAAATGAGGCGGCTGCCCTTCTATGACGTCTACGATGAGCTCATTAAACCCACCACTCTGGGTAAGTTCTCTGAGCTTCTGCTTAGAACTGCCAAGGTCTCTTTCAACTGCCCCCTTGTCTTTGCTGCAGTTACATCTTGTAATTATTTTAAGGTTGCTGCTTCAGTAATGACAGTGATGTGTCCTTATTTGGAAACAAGGGGATTTCTGCCTTGGGCATGTATGCTGGGCCAGGGAAATTAGCTATAATTTTCCATTATGCTTGATTCAAGGAGCATAAATGGTCTGCGCTGAAACAGGCCACAGATCTGTTCAGGTTTTATTGCTGTACACATTTACTTGGGAGTAAGCCCTGCTGAACCTGGTGGCACTTCCGTCAAGGTCAGGGCTTCAGGGTTGCGCCGTGCGTCTACCACCCCGTTTCCAGCAGTGTCAGATGCAACACTGGCTTGTGTTTGTGCAGCAATCATGCTCCGGCTTTGCATGCCCTGTGTTTTATGACTTCAGTCATCCAGTGTGAGGTGAGCTCCTGTGTAGAGACAGTAGACGACCTAGAGAGACATGGTTGGAACAGGTGCGTGGTCTGAATGGGGGCATCCTCCTCCCCGGTCAGCTCTCTCCCAGGGCTGAACTCCGGTTCCAGATCCCTGTCTCGCGGTGCCGCTTGATTGCATCTGAAAATACCATGTGTGTTCAGTTGCTTTTAAAGTTTATTTGTTGCACCCCAACGACTGTCACCCTTGCAGTTGTCAAAAATCTGCCATTGTAATCTTATAACAATAAGTGATCAGATCCATCCCCAATAGGCTGGTGTGCTGAACATCAGGCGTCAACAGCAAAGGCAGTATGGTGTACTGGTTAGGATATCGACCTAGGACTGGGGATCCTGGTTCAGATACTCAGCTGGCCACGTAAATTTTGTTGGGGCACTTTAGGCCAGGTGTCCCAATAGGAGCTTCTGTGAGAGGGTCCCCAAGTAGCACCCACAAAGCTTTTTCATTTTATTTAATATATGTACCTGGATTTCTATATATCAATAGCAAAAAATGCATACAAAATGCCATACAACTTTTGAACAACTTTAAACCACAAAGCAAATATCCTAATAAGCATCCATTTGAAAGTTGCTTCTGTATGCTGCCCGTTCAGATATTCAGAGTGCTGCGGCTTGATCTTGAGTATTATAGGGGGTGAGTGCTTGGCCTTTCTAAGTTGTACTATCAGTCTTTTAGCAATTAAAATAATCCAGTGAATTTAGTTAATTTCCATAAATCAAGTACATAATTTTTAAAAGCATTGCCATAAGTGAATATTAAGGACTGTTTCAGCACAAAATTGATCTGTGTGACAACCTCCTCCCCGAAAAAAGCAGCCGCTGGCTATTGCCAGAGCATGTGTTTGAAAAAGCATTAGCTGCATTCACCCCCAGAAACTAGCCAAATTAGACGCTCCCTGATTCCAGTTGGGTGGGCTTCTGTTTCTGTGAACTTTGTGAGGGCCTCGTCAGTTTAACAGACTTGCAGCGGTAGCTCTGCATGGTGGGAAGTAGGCGTGTGTGGGCCTCGGAACGTTAATAATAATAATAATAATAATAATAATAATAATAATAATATAAAATGTCTGTCAGAGGTGAAGACGGATCCCAAGCTCAGAGTCCCAGATGGAGGACTGTTGTTGTTGTTAGTCGCGAAGTCATGTCCAACGCATCGCAACCCCATGGACAACATTCCTCCAGGCTTTCCTGTCCTCCACCATCCCCAGCGTCCACTTAAGACTGCTTCAGTGACCCCATCCAGCCACCTCATCCTCTGCCGTCCCCTTCTTCTTTTGCCATATTATTCCCAGCATCAAGCTCCTCTCCAGGGAGTCCTTCCTTCTCATTAGGTGGCCAAAGTATTGGAGTTTCATCTTCAGGATCTGGCCTTCCAAAGAGCAGTCAGGGTTGATCTCCTCTAGGACTGACTGGTTTGATCTCCTTGCAGTTCGAGGGACTCTCAGGAGTCTCCGCCAGCACCACAATTCAAAGGCCTCAATCCTTTGGCGCTCAGCCTTCCTTATGGTCCAGCTTTCACAGCCATACATTGCAACTGGGAAAACCAGAGCCTTGACTATACGCACTTTTGTTGGCAGGGTGATGTCTCTACTTTTTAGTATGCTGTCTAGATTTGCCATAGCTTTCCTCCCGAGGAGCAAGCGTCTTTTAATTGCTTGACTGCAGTCCCCATCTGCGGTGATCTTGGAGCCCAGGAAAATAAAACCTGTCACTACCTCCATTTCTTCCCCATCTATTTGCCAGGAAGTGAGTGGACCAGATGCCATGATCTTAGATTTCTTAATGTTGAGTTTCAAGCCAACTTTTGCTCTCTCTTCCTTCACCTGCATCAAGAGGCTCTTTAGTTCCTCTTCACTTTCTGCCGTTAAGATGGAGGACTAGGACATCTCTTTTTCAACAGAAAGCTGCCATGTTTTAAGAACTTACCAAGGATTCCTGCTTTAGGGTGTGCAGGAAGATCAGAAACTGTCGTTTTCTGCTTTAGAACTTTGGGGGACTCTTAGTCAAAAGAAATCAGGTGCAAACTCTGGATTGATTTCTTGGTTTGTGGACTAACCATCAGTGGAGCCAGTGAGAGTCCAGGTACAATCAGAAGTGTAACATTTCATGAAATTGTGACGCCATTGAAAAAGCCTGTTTTTCCTGACCGTTTTGGGAGGGGGGAGCAAATTAGGGAAAATTGGAAAATATTCCATTACTTTTCAGTAATCTAGGACAGAATGGGGTTTCTAGGCAGACTGCTGGGCAATTCGCCGGAGACTCATAATTGTTTCTGGATGGCACAAGTCTGCCTGCTGCTGATAACATACAGGGCCAGGCCAGACCAGGCCCCCCGGGGGGGGGGGGCTGTTTGCCGGAGAATCAGCCTTTCCCAACAGTCCCCATACAAGTTGCAATATAAGAATGCGTTTCTGCATTTTCATGTGTTCTTTATCCCAAAAGACTCATCAAGTGGCTTCTGCACAATCAGTAATTCAAGGCAGTCTCCACCCGCACACGCTTTCAACCTAAAAAAGACGCAACACAAAAGCAACGGGCAGTGCAGGGAGGAGAACAGACCTTACGATTCCAATTCGGTATAGCCATGGATGCTTTCATTAAATCCTGGAATTTCATTAAATCCTGGCAACTCACTGAAATGAGCAAGTGCAGTGTACTCCTGTTTTGGGGAAGAGCCTGGACAAATTCGTATTTTGAAGGAGTACTTATGGGAAGCAGGATTGATCAGCTGCCTTTTCCAAATACTGTAGTTCTAGTCTAAAAAACGGCTACCTTACAAAGAGTTGGATCTTCTTTAAAGGTCAGTTTCCCAGTGACAAGACAAATGACCCTTTGTCTTTTTTTGACCCTTTTCTGCCCCCTGCCCAACCCAAAGAACCCTCCCTGGCAATGCAAAGGAAAGAGATCTCGCCAGTGCGTTCTTGCACTTGTGGAAGCAGGGTGAGCCCTCGCCCGTGTTCCTGGCAGAAGTGTGGGCTGCCGCTGCAGTGGCGTCCAGATGGCCACTCTTCCTGCTCGATTGGCCTTGGGCGCCGGGGCCAACAAAGACACCTGCAGGGTCCAGGCCGTGCCGGAATGTGTCTCTCTGCCCGGCCTCACATTCTTTAGATTCTTGGCCTGACAAAGAGAGAAGACCGATGCTGCCACGAGAGTTGGAAGGAAGCCACGGAGAATCGCAAGGGAGAGGATGCTTTTCATGCTAGGCACTGTACATTTTGCAACAATTTACCACACCCCCCCCCACAACTGTTTGGCCCAAGAAGGCTTAGAAAGATTGCTGTCCTCAGGCTTACTACTGAAACAGCACAAGACAAAAGGAAAGAGCGTGGGCGGGGAGGAAGAAAAAAGAGCAAAACTCAGGTGCCTCAGATCTTCCAGGCATTTTTCTAGACCTGTGGGGCTCGGTTGGACTCCCCCTTCCCATGAGAGGTATCCTGGGAAGTGGGGTGGATGCAGCCTCTCAGTGTCCTTTGGACCTCTGGCCACTAGGATGCAGCTGGAGTCAGTTGGGACCACGTGCTCCTTCTGGAAGGGAGGGGAGGATCGAGCGCCTCACGTGTGGTCAGAAGTGCTGCATGGCGCTGTGGGTTTCCCTGCACAGCCCTTCCTGCCGGCACGAGGCAAGCAGCTGCTCTGTCCTCTGCGAGCACATGGGGGGGGGGGGGGGGGGGCAGTCCACTGGGGTCCTGGTCCACTTGTGCTGAGCATCCTGCAGGCACTGATTGCTGCTTGGCCTCTTCCCGTCTCTCTCTGCAGCTTCCATGAACAGCCAGCGGTTCGAGGAAGCCCATTTCACCTTCGCCCTCACCCCGCAGCAGGTACAACAGATCCTCACGTCTCGGTAAGGGGACTCTCTTCTCCGTCTAGGCTGTGTGGGGAAAAAAGTGCTTTGAAAAACTCGAAAGCCAGGAGGTGTGAGCTGGTGCCTTTTGGATGTTGTGAACAGCAGCTCAGGGGCCCTTCTGCCCACTGGTTAGGCCCTCGGGTGGATGGGAGTTGTAGTCTCAAACCATCTGGAGCGTGCCGCATTATTTCTCTCCACCCTGAAGTGTCGGCAGAGCCGAGGCTGAGCGCAGACCTTGCGCAAAACCACAGCCAAGGCTGCCTCACTGGGTCGGTCAGCGGTCGGAGGCGAACGGCCCAGCTCTGCGCTCGGCTCACCCAGCAGGATCAGACGTCACGTACCAAGTGGTTTGTACTAGCCCTGGTTTTGTGGAATGTTGCAGCTGGCAACAGCAAAGTTGGGCGCTGGCGCTGGCTGCACCTTGGGGCTGCACCTTGAGGCAGGAGTGCTGAGCAAGGCGTGGTCAAGGAAGCACAGAAGCAGGAAGTAAACCCTCGTTGGAACGTTTTGACCAACTGCGCACAGGCTCTGGAGCGCCTTCCCCTGCCTGGGCCTGGCCGTGCGTTCTGACCAGCCTCAGAGGCCCTGCGTGGCCCCCCAGCCAAAGCCTTTAGCCTGGCAGGCGCTAGGGACGGGGCCTTCACACTGGCTGCCCCACGCCTCTGGAGTCCCACATGGCCCTGCCCCTGCTGGCTTAAAAAACAAACCAGCAGGCCCGGAAGTGCCCCTTCTGTTGTGAACCTGGGGTTTGAAAAGCGTCAGCAGCTGCCCCAGGGTGTGGAGCCGCAACTGGTGTCCGTGTGCCTGCCGCCTTGGGAGACCAGTGCCCCCCGTGGGGCAGGCCGAAGGTCCCCTGAAATCATGAATGGCGTCCAGGGCGCCAGTCCAGTGCTGACAGGGAACCACCTGCGGTTCGAGTGCAGGCCGGTAGTCGGAACATGTCCCCAAGAGAGCCACAGAGCTCTGTTCAGAAGCCCCGGTGGTGAGCTCGGCCCCCACCACGAGCGAAGCAAGGCAGGTGGGTGGGCTTTCCCCACAAGCTGCAGGCTGGGGCTGTGGGCAGGAGTGCAGGCAAGGAGCAGGGGCGCGGTCTGAGGCCCAGGCCTGCCTGCGCCCCGTCTTGCTTGCCACAGACACCGCCAGAGGCTCTTGCTGATGTGGATTCATCTGCGTCTTGGCAAGCCCAGCCGCCTCCCCCCCGGTGTTTGGGGTCTCAGCTCCAGTCACCATGGTCAGGCTTGCTGGGAGCTGACGTTCAGAACATCTGCAGGGCCCCAGTTGGGGAAGGTGGGCTTCGCCCCAATCCCATTTTAGAACTGACTTGCGCCTTTCAGGGCTTCCTGTTGCTTTATTTTTGTGCTGCACTTCGTTTTCCGTAGTCATCGGCCAACCCCGGGGTTCTAGGATAAAAAGCCACAAGTGGGGCAAGGATGCTCCCCCATCCCTGTGCACAGCTGCTAGAGCTGGGACAACCCCTCTCAGAATCCCCCCCCCACGCTTGGCCTGGTACCGCAAAGCCAAGCCAAGAAGAAGTCTGCAAATCTGTGGGGAGCCCCCGTTGCAAAGTGGGCCGGGGTGCCAGCAGCTCAGCCTAGGGAGCGTGGCAGGCTCCCATCCCTAGACAGGTTCCTCTCTCATCCCTGACGTCCGCCAGTCTCCATCTCTCTTGCAGCAGCTGTTCTGAGTTGCAGCATTCCGGGGCTGGCCCTTCCCAGGCTGCTGAGAGACTGGCCACAGTGGTAGGTGATGCTTCAGAAACTTCCCGCCCCCCGGCATGGCTGGAGGGCTCTGGGTCATGCTAGCATTCCCAAGAGTCCTGCCACGCTGACAGGTTTAAGCCCTTTCCCCTCTCTCTTTTGCAGTGATATCTTACCTGGTGCCAAATGCGATTACACCGTACAGGTGCAGTTAAGGTAAGCAGAAGCGAACTGATACTTTCGCACACTGTGAAGAGCAGGCAGGTGCACCCGCTTGTTTGGGCAGCGCCCTTGCGGCCGCTCTTCGTCTGCACACGCACAAGAAGCGGCCGTGCACAAGCTGAGAGGGCAGCCCCTGCTGTGGGTGCAGGCGGGTCTCCCCCAGCTGCCGGGGGCTTCTGCTGGCATGCATTCCCGGCCCACGTGGGGCCCCGTGTTTGGCGCCCCCTGCACGGCACGTGCGGTTGGGGACAGTTGGTGGGGAGTTTCCGACAGCCTAGCAGCACCCACGGTTCTCCCGGGGACGTTTGCATTCTCTAAAACCCAGGAGCGGAAAATGTGCAAACCTCTGTCTTTCCAGAAGCCCAGTTTGTAAAAAAAAGAAAAAGAAGGATGAATGGCCCGGAGAGAGGGGGGCATTTGATTTCAGCAGAGAACCTCAATCAGAAAGATGCAAGCAGGCAGGAAGCTCAGAGGGGAAAAGGCCAGGAAATCCAGGTGGATCTGAGGCAATGGAAATTATTAAAACCCCTGGACTCAAGGAAATGAGGCGAATGGAGGCGATTCCGTGCTCCAGAGGAGGGTTCGAGGGTTGCAGTCCTACTCCAGAGAAGTTTTCCAGCCCCAGGACTACTCTGAAACTTGCTCAGAAATGTTGGCCAGTGTATCTGAACAAGGGCTAATTGGAAGGAGGGCCACTGTTCTTGCAAACTGTCTGAAGACGCGGAATGACACGTGCGGCTGTCATTCTCCCCAGACCAGAAGCTCCTCCTGCCCCCCCGGCAGGCTACCAGGAGCCCCCACCAGGAGCACCTGGCATGGTGGCTTCCCCCTCCAGGCCTGCCCAGGGTTAGAACCAGCCTGTCCCTTGGCCTCTTCCTCCCCCTCCCGTCTTACTGCAGCCTGTTGCGGATGAGCAAGTGCGGAAAACCGACTCCACAAGCTGCCAGACGGCTCCCCGAGCTGCTTTGCCCGCATAACTTTTCTCCCACCCGTCCATCTTCATATGGCCCCTGACCTGGGAAAGCACCGCCGCCTCGAAAAGAAAGCTTTAGGGCCGCCTTCCGCAACCTTGTGTCAGCCTCGTGAACTGCAACACCAGAATTCCCGATTAGTGGCCGTGTTGGAGGGGAATTCTGGGTGCTGCGGTCCAAATGCCTCCGAAGGCCACTGGGTTGCGGACGGCTGCTTTGGGGTGGCTTCCTGTGCGTGGCTGGCCTGGGGTGGGCTGGGAGTTGTAGGGCGTTTCCCCCACAGAGGATTGTGCCTGTGCTTGTGGTTTTTGCCTGTGGGATCTTCCCATTAACCCTCCGGTCTCCTTTATGCCTCTGCAGGTTTTGTTTGTGCGAAACCAGCTGCCCACAAGAGGACTACTTTCCTCCCAATTTATTCGTCAAAATCAATGGGAAGCTCTGCCCTCTTCCTGTGAGTCCCCCCCCCCCCACTGCCCTGCCCCAGTCCCTTGGTGAAAACCGATCGCGGCCGCTTGGGAGATGCATAATTCAGTTTGCATGCACGGGACCCCAGGCACCACCCGCGACAGAGGGTATGCTAGGTGCTGCTCTGCCCTTTTCTTAAACCAAAAGACCCTGGACAGGGGTTTCCACTGACAGATGACAATCCTGTGCTAGTTGGAGCTGTGGTCTGCCTTGGGTAACCTGCCTGTGGCCCTCCAGATGCTTTGGTCTGCAGCCTCTGTCAGTCCTGGCTGGCATGGTCAATAGTGAGGGCCGAGCGGAGCCGTAGGCAGCTTCTGGGAGATGACAGGTTGCCGGGCAGCAATCCGAATCCACAGTCGGTCACTCCATCAAATTGCCTAACTGTTAAGGTGAAGAGGAACATCGGAGGAATTGTTATGCCTTTACCAGCACTGGGCAAAGCTGCTACAAATTTATTCGGTAGTTCTTCTCGTTAGTTATCTTGTTCGACCTGCCCAGAGCCTCCTGTGATGAGAGGGGAGGGGCAGCCAGGGACTTCTGTGAGGCTCTGGGGCCTCCTGGGCTTGGGGAAAGCGGCTCGTGCGGTACCATGTCGAATGGAGAACTTGACTGTGTGGCTGCGGCTGATGAATGGGTGGTCCACGCCCAGCATGGCTCCAGGTATGACTCACTGTGACGAACGGCCACGGTGGTTGACCCCGGATATCCTCTTCTGCTTCCACAGGGTTACCTGCCCCCCACGAAAAACGGTGCAGAGCCCAAGCGACCGAGCCGACCGATCAACATCACGCCTTTGGTGCGGCTGTCAGCCACGGTCCCCAATACAATAGTTGTGAACTGGTCCTCTGAGTTTGGCCGGGTAAGAGGGACTCAGTGGTGACATTCTCTTCCCTTCGCCCCAGCTGTGCTTGCTTGGAATTGCTCAACTATATTTTCTTTTTCTTTATTGATTTTTACAAATAGAAAAAAGAAGGTTCCATGGGACCTTACACAAATGTTTCATATAGTACTAAATGCAGGAAATTTCACAAAATCCTTACTATTCTACCAAATTTATGACTACAATTTTAACTTATTAATACTTAGAATTAAAAAATTAATTAATTCTTGATTAAAATTAATAATTATTACATAAATTGCTTTGACATGGATATCAAATAAATGATCATTCACCTTATACCTACAAACCCACCAACGTAGTAATTAATTTTTCTTTTTCCCCTTTAATTCCCCAATAGAACACTATCTCAATAAGAAAGTTAAATTCAGAGAACAAATCATTGTATACATAATACTTAAGACTGGCATATTTTCCATACTTTTAAATAGTAGCAAAGCAATTATATTGAAATTGCAATCCAATATGTTCTATTTTATCTCTCAATTGTTAAATAAAGTATTTATAATAGGCATTCCATTTATCATAAAATTCTTTAACATGTCCTCTGTTTGTAGCGGGTTAGTTTTGCTATCACTTGCATATTCAGCTAGCTCATTTTTCCAGTCTTCACTGGTTGGGCAATCTTCTGCTTTTCTTGACTCTTCTTTTCCATCCTAGAGTGGTTTTGCAGGTCAAAATGTCAGTCTTATTCTGCTAATAGCCTGAGCCCACACAATAGAACCCAAACGGAAGCAAAGGTGTCCCTCAGCAACCTCCGCAGGGGAGGGAGCTGTAGACTTTTATTGTTATTTGCTTAATGGATTGTTGTTGTAGTGTCGCATTTATGCCTCCTCATTCGCCTTTTATAAGGAAGCGAAGGTGGCTTAGTTGGTTTGCCGCTTCTCCGTTTTATCTTCGCAGCCGCCACCCTGTGAGTTAGGCCAGGCTGAGAGCGCCAGTGACTGGCCCAGTGTCACCCAGTAAACTTCACAGCCGAGTGGGGGCTAGAACCCCTGGCAGCCCTGCAGTGATGGCCACGGACAGCCCCTTCAAAGCACGCAAAGGGGCCTTGCTGTAGTGGCCAAGCCTTTTCGAAAAAGGCCGTTCTCCTAAGTTTTGCAAGTGTTTTCAAAAACCACGTTTCAGAAACAGATTTGGACTGCCTGTGCACAGTTGCGCTGGAGTGCTGGCTAGCTGCTGCTTATGAATGAATGAAGGAAGGAAGGAAGGAAGGAAGGAAGGAAGGAAGGAAGGAAGGAAGGAAGGAAGGAATGGATGATCCTCGCATGCTGCCTCCCAGCCCACGGGCTCTCTGGGCGGCTCAGAAACACGAAGGACTGCCTGGGCATCCCTGGGGCAGCTGTCCCCGGTGGTTGTGCCGGGGGCCTTGGCAGCTGCTGGGCATTTCCCACTGCGGGACCAGTGCGCTGGCTTCAGATAACACAGCGACTCATCCTGGGTGAAGCCATTCCTTTAAAGCATGCCCGCCCCCCTGCCCCCCCTGGCAGACGAGCCACTGTGGATAGCCTGGGCTGGGTTATGATGATGTGACCAAGTCTGTGGCTTGATTGTGGTTAAACAATGCACAGTTATCACACTCCTAGTTCTTGGATTAGCGGTGAGTTGTTTAACCCATGAAGAGTCTCTGGCTTCTCATGTCACAAAATAACCTTTGATTGAGCTGCCTGGAGCTGCCTATTGAAAATGGCAGCTATGGACCACCTGGCAAACCCCAAGTTTAATCCACAAGTTGCTGCTGCTCCATGCAGCCGGTCCGGTATCTTGGTTCTTGCTTCAGTGGCGTTTCATCAGTGCAGGTATGATATTCAAGGGAAGCAGCTTAGCCCTCCAGTGGGTCCTTTTAATATCTGCAGTGGAATGTTTGGGAGCAGTCCATGACATCGCAGTAGCTCAGCTGATAGCGGGCAAGAACAAGGACTTGGTTTGTCACATTTAAAAATGAATCTATCCGTTGCTCTGCATACCCCTAAATAACATGGGCTTCTTTTCCCCTAGAATTATTCCCTGTCTGTTTACCTGGTGAAGCAGCTGACGTCAGTGACATTGCTCCAGAAACTGAGGGCCAAGGGAATCCGGAACCCAGATCATTCACGAGCCCTGAGTGAGTCTAAGCCCTTGAGCGTCTTTCCGGCTGGTCAAGGGTGTGTGTGATTTGTCCTGGAATCCAAGGGTTGGATCGCATGGTAGTTTTTCACTAGCAAGGAAGCAGATGTTTGCTGATACTCAGTTCCGTGGCCATTCAAGGCCTTGAACACCAAAAGTGTCTTTCCAGCATCTTCTTCCACAGATACGTTCAGTCAGTGCCGTACTGCACGCCAGCTGTGTGGTTTGGCCTCTCCCCCAGCATGTGCTCTAATACTGAGAAGTATTTGTTTCTTCCTTCCACCTTCAGTCAAAGAGAAACTGACAGCCGACCCCGACAGCGAGATTGCCACAACAAGTTTGCGAGTTTCACTCATGTGCCCGGTACGTCTGCAGCTTGGGCTGCTTCTTCTGTCTCCTTTTTACTATGGATCCTTGGTCTTCTTTTTAAAGGTCTGTCACTAAGGACATGCAGAACCACAAGAAAGTCACTCCTCTGCCTCAAATATAAGAACCTTTTGGTGCAAAAATTCAGTTTATAAGCCACTTTCTACCCAAATTCAGATTTGGATACTTTGGTGATTTGCGCCTTGAGGTATAAGGCTGCCCCCACCTCCCCCGGTGTAAAACCATGAGATATCTCTGCATTGATCTTTGCAATGCAGTAGGCTTAATTGGCAAGGTTTTGTTCCAGCTTCCTGTCAACAATTCCTTTTGGTTCTCAGAAGAGCCAGTGTTTTCCTTCCCTTAACACAAGTAAATATCATTGTGAAAAGTCTAGCCCAGCACCTTCTTCTTCCTCGAGCATGGATTGTCCACACTGGCTCCCGAGGGGTAGTCAGTCAGTCTTTGGAGATGCATTTCAGTCTTTAAGAACAGGGGACAACTGTGCAAAAGTCAGGAAACCAGCAGCTGATCAAGAGCCTGGGAAAAGGGGGGTGCCACTCTTTGGAGTGCCCCTGAAGGCCACACTGGGGTTCAGTCAGAGGTTCCCTGACTTGCTTGATAGAAAAACACGCCTTTTCTCAAGAAAGCTCCAGGCTCTCCAGAACTTCTAGTCCGCTCTTTCTGTCACTATCAGCGTGTTCCCTTTGGGAGTGTCCACGCAGGAAGCCACGTCGCCAGCGATAGCTGCGTGAACTCCGGCACGTGGGGCACGCTGTGGAAAGTGCAGGGCCTACACGGGCCGTGTCCTTTGCTCGCTGCCTCTGAGTAAGGGAAAGGGGGGTGGTGTTGAGTCCAGACCCTGAGCAGGGACTTGCCTGATGCCTGAATAATCACGGGGTGGGGGGGTTAATTTGTGATGACATTGTGGTTGTACTCAGTTTTGGACTGAATAATTTTTGATTAAAAATTGCCAGATTAAACTGCATATACCAGGTTAAACTATTGGCCCGCGTGGCTTTAAATTTGGGCTTTGTTTCGACAGGAACACAAGATCTTTAGCGTTTAAGTCCATCATTCCTGATCTTGTGCCTTGTGGTGGCCATACTGGCTAGGGATGATGGGCATTGTAGTTCAGCTCATCTGCGAGCATCTGTTTGGGATGGGCAGAGGGCAGTACATCACCTGAAATGTTTGACAGGGATAAGCACTCCTGCCCCCCCATTACCCCCCCCCCACCATGAACCAAGAAGACGCTTAAAAATAGCACCTGCCACAGCGACGGAATGCTGAAAAATCGGATCTTGTTTCTTACGGAGCACCAACATGGTTAAATTCAGCCCGAGAACAAGCGGAATCGTTCCCTTCAGCACGGTGGAGTGGTTTGCTGCTGAATTTTAATGACACACCAGCAAATCCTGCCTGACCTTAGTCAGGTGTTTTGTGTGTGGGGGGGCGGTGCGATGAGGAGGGGCCCATGTGGCCCTCGGTCCTCCGGAGGTCGCCTGCCCTGCCCTGGGGACTCCGGCGGCAGGAGCCGTATCCATGGGATCCCCACCCTTCCCAGCTGCCTCACTTCCCCCCGTGTTCTTTCCCTTCCTGCTAAGCTGGGCAAGATGAGGCTGATCGTCCCCTGCCGAGCGTTCACCTGCACGCACCTGCAGTGCTTCGACGCCGCACTTTACCTTCAGATGAACGAGAAGAAGCCGACGTGGACCTGCCCTGTCTGCGACAAGAAGGCCCCCTACGAGGCCCTGATCATCGATGGGTAATGCTGGGGGGGGGGCGCCCCCCCCATTCCCCTCCCCTTGCCAGCCCACCCTTTCCCCTCTGTGCCACGCCGGCGTCTGGGGCTTCCCGCCATGCCTTGGAGCGCTCCATGTCGATCCAGCAGCTGCCCCTTTTTCTTTCCAGCCGTGTCCTGGAGAAGTGCCGGTCACGGCAGGCAGGCCGAAAGGGCCGTCTGCAGCCACTCGTGCCCTCTGGGTCCTGCCAGGGCTCCTGGGCCTCAGCAGCTGCCCCAGTGAGCTGGGAGGGGGGAAGAGGGCAGTACGCCCCCCCGCAGAGTGAGAAGGGGCTTCCCAAAGGGCCCCTGGGCCTGCCCCTTCCCCCGGAGACCGAGCCCTGAGGCCAGGCTCCCCCTTCGTCCCCGCCCACCCCCACAGGTTGTTCATGGAGATCCTGAACTCCGTCACGGATTGTGACGAGATCCAGTTCATGGAGGACGGCTCCTGGTGCCCCATGAAGCCCAAGAAAGAGAACCAGGAGGTTTGCCAGCCGTCTGCCTACAACGGCCTGGAAGGTAGGCGAGGGGCGCGTGGCCGGTGGCTGCTGCTTTGCTGTGGCGCTGGGGCTGTGCCGGGGAAGGGGGGCGGCCTTCTGCGGCGGGGGGGGCGCTTGCTGGGCAGGGGAGCGTGCCTGCTTGAGGCAGAGGTCTTCCGGGAGCCACTTGGGTGGGGGGCTGGAGCCTCCACAGCTGAAATGAAAGGAAGACCCCTGGTGGACACGGAACCAGAAGGGTGCTCTTGTCTCCGGGCCCTTGGGGAGGATGAGTGCGAGCCCGTTTCCTCCCCGCGGCTTTTCACACCCCTAGGTGCTTTTTTCCCAGGAGCAACCCTGGCAAAGCGACTCGGGCAGCACCATCGGGGGCCAGCCTTGGTTTGTCACTCTTCTTTGTGCTCCAGAAGTGTACACTTGCTTTCCTTTTCTAGAAGCTTAAGCCCAGCACAGAATGAAAACGAAAACAAAAACAAAACAGACGCATATTTGTGCACCTCGCGTGTTCTAGTCAAACAAGCGAGGAGCTCGTGGCCGCGTGCTGCTTGCGCAGCCTGACAGGGCGGTCAGTAACTCTCAGAGAGAAGCTCGCTTCCCACAGATTTCTGAGAAAAGACTGAAAGGAATGAAGGTGCAGAGGAGTGGCAGGCCAGCTGTTGGCGCTGGGGGGGGGGGGGGGGGGGGGGTCCTGCCGGGGGGGCAGGCATGAGGGGCCGGCGAGGGGCCCGGCCCCTGCGGGTCATTCGTGAAGCACCCGGCCCACCGCGGCTGGTCGCCGGGGTGGGCGGGCGTCTGTGCGAACCAGCCCGGTGTGTTTCCGTATCGAGCAGAAATCGGCACTCGGCGCCCCTCGTCCTTTCCACTCTGGTGGATGCGCCTCCTGGTGCTCTGGGCGTGAGGCGCTCCCTCGGCGCCTGCAAAGCCCCTTCGGGGCCCTGGAAGGAGGGTCTGCCACGACCCACCGGGTTCCTCGCCGGGGGGGCCAGCGGTGTGCGGCAGAGGCAGAAATGCCACGCGGGCGCCTTCCACGGGCCGTCCTGTGTTGGCCAGGCTTTCGAGCCACGGGGCTGGGTCTTGCTGCCCACCCCTAGGGGCTCTGAGGAGCGGAAGCGGCCGGAGGGAACGCTCCTGCTGGGCACTTGCCCCGGGGGCGGGGGGCTTGCCCACTGCTGCTCCAGAGGACTCTGAGGAGCCTTGGGGGGCACTGGTGGATCCAGCCGCTGGCCCGGCGTTCTGTTCCGAAGTGGCCGCCTTCGTGGTGCGGAGCTCGGCCTCAGGGCAGCAGGCCCCCCACTGCCCCGCCGGACCCCAGCTCCCTGGTCAGAGGCGTGTGCTCGGAAGCGCTGCTGGGGTGCTCGGGCCGCTTCTAGGATAGCAGAGTGGGAGGGGCCGAGGCGGCCACTGGGTCCAGCCCCCGCTCGGCATGCGGCCCCAGCCTTGCCTTCCTTGGCGCCTTTTCCCGTCCCTCAGAGCTTGGCTCGTGCTCGTTGCCCCTTTCTGCGGCTGGGAGCACCCACCTCCCCCTTTCTGACCTTTCGTCGGCTCCGTGTCCAAGTCGGGGGCCCAGCCGTGGCATGGAAGGCGCTTGCTGGCAGCCCGGCTCGGCCCCAGCAGCCCCTCTCTCTCTCTCTCACTCACAGCTTCCCTGTTCACAGTGGGCTCTGACGGGAAGCCGCTGGCCGAAAGCAAGAAGAAAGTGGAAGTCATTGACCTCACGCTGGACAGCTCTTCGGACGAGGAGGAGCCCCCGGCCAAGAAGCAGTTTCCGGTCACCACCGCAGCCATCCCAGCAGCCGCGGGGCCCAAGGGGTAGGGGGCAGCTGCCCTTCGCCTGCTCCCCTCCTGCAGACAGCTTGCAGGCCACCTCGCAGGCAGGGGCGAGAGACGGGATGGGCGAGGGATCCCTTTCGGGGCTCCCTGGGCTGCCCAGCCTGCCTTCTCGCATCTGCCAGTCCCGCCTCCTGGTGGAGCTTCTTGTGGCGCTCGCCCGGACGTGACCCTGACCCTGACCCCTCTGCGGCACACGCAGCGTGCAGCCCGCCCACTGCATTGCGCGTGACGCCGAGGAAGGCTGCCGGTTGTTGGCCGGCGCCCGGGAGGGCCAGCAGATTTCCTCCTGGCTCAGCTCGCTTTCCGAGGGGGCCGAGTCACTTTGTGAATCGAGGCGGGGCAGATGCCACAGCTCGTTGCTGCCCTAGCCGGGACCCTCGTGGGACGGCTCCCTCGATCGCCTCCACCCCCACCCCAACTTGCTCCCGTCTGCATGGGAAAAGATGAACTCGCACCATCTTTTTTCGAAAAGCTCGTGAACAGCCAAAGATAAATTACAGCAAACACCTTCAGCCCTTTTGTGCTTCGAATGTTTTGATGCACGTTCCCCGAACTGTATCAAAACATGGATGAGGAGCGCTGGTTCAGAAAAGCCCCTCTGATGGCTTCCACATGTCGGGGGGGGAGGAAAGGCGCCGCCCGGTGCCAGAGAGGAGGCCGTGCTGGCACCCAGCGGCCTCCCCGGGACGGAGGCTCCCGGGTGCTGCTCATGCCCACGGGGTGCGGGTGGGCTCCCGGCCGGGAGCGCTCGTCGCGGGCAGCCCCTTCTCCGCCACACCTGACAGCCGTTTCCCTCTCCCTCCAGCGTCCTGAGCGCCGACCATCAGCCCTCCTCGGTGCTGCGGAGCCCCCCCATGGCCGCGGTGGGCAGCGACTATCTCTCCAACCTCCCCGTGCCCGACTACCACTCCTACCAGGTCCCCTCGGACATCCAAGGTAACTCGGCAGGTGCGGCCCGGCGGCGGGGCCTCCCTCGCTCGGCCGCTCTGGCATCGCCGGGGGGCTCGGCTCCTCCTCTCCTCTCTCCGGCAGCACAGGCGACCAGAGGCGAGCCAGCTCAGCGCCCCGCAGGCCGGGGAGCGCTTCTGCCACCTTTTCAGCATCTGTTTCTCGACTCTCCTTTGTGCTGTTCGGGCCTCGGGCCCGTCCGCTCCGGGGCTCGGACCTGCACTGTCCGGCTTCCCTGCGCCGTCTTGGCTTCTGCTGGAAGATGGGACAGAGAAGGGGTGCTCAGGGTCCCCTCTGCCCTGGGCCCTCAGAGAGAGCCGGTCTCTTCTTTGTCCTGCCTTAAATACGGCAGAGGGAGCCTTAACCCTGCAGGGGAGGTGGCTGCGTACGCCTGTACATGGATTGTTCGCAGGGGCACTGCGCTACCCTGCCTGCCAATGCAGCATGTGCCTCAGTCAGTCGGACCTTAAATAAAGCACAGTTTTAAACACTGATTGCCTGGAGGCAGTGGGAACGCCCCCCAGCTGACCGGCTGCTGGCAAGGCCTTGCTGTGGCACTGCAGCGCTGGGGGGTCCCCCGAATGCCCCGTCCTCCGCGTCGCCCGGGCGTCTTCTGGGTGCCAGGGAGAGAGTTGCTGGCATGTAGGCAGTGGGTGCGCCGCGAGGTCAGTCGCAGAAGGCGGCGCGTTTCCCAGCTCTGGCTTTGGGCTCCCGAAACGGTTGCTGACCCGAAGCTGGGGCACAACCCGGCCCTCACGAGCCAGCTGGGCCTGGCGTGGGCAGCACAGACCGGAATCCGGCACTTCGCTTCCCGGAACGTGGGGAGCTCCGGGGCTTGTTTCCCACCTGAACCTGCCTAGGAGTGCGCGTGAGAAAACCCTGCAGAGAGAGAGGGCCGGGGGGGGGGGGGGGGGGGGGGGAGAACCCGGGGGGGGGGGGGGGGGGGGGGGGGGGGGGGCAGAGGGGCACAGCGCTTTCGGGCTCGGCTGGCGCTTAGAGGGCTGCCAATCAGCCCGTGGCGCCTGTGCAGGGCGTCCAAGACGCCAGACAAACCGAAGGAGGCCCGCGCCTCGCAGCCGGTTAACCCGGCACGGGGGCAGAATCGAGGTCATGTCCAGCCTGGCCCTTGGTGGATCGGAAGAGGGCTGCTGCAGGCCCCCTTCCACCCCACCCCACCCCACCCCACCCCACCCCACCCCACCCCTCCGCGCCGGCCAGCCTGCCCCTCGGCAATCCCCGCACGTGTCCGCTTCGAAGGGAGGGGCGGAGGGGAGGCAGGCCTGGGGAGCCGGAAGAGGCGACCTGCCCAAACCGCCCAGCCACCGGGGCTGCCGCTCACCAACCTCAGCACTGCTGGGCTTCTCGCAGGCTGTCCTGCCTGGTTCCCCTGCACCCAAAAGCCCCTGGGGGCAGCAGGGCCGGGCAAAGCGGGTGCTTATCCGGGGGGGAGGGGGGGATGGAGACGGATCCCGGCTGCAGGGGCTGCTGAGCAGCACGTCTGCCAAGACGGGTACTAATTACCCTGCACTGCTATCCCGCCTTCCCAGGGAGCATGATAAAGCAAATTATTCGCACAGCAGCTGCCATGTGAGGCTAAGGGGCTGTGACCAGCCCCAAGTCACCCATGAGCTTCTGGCCAGCAGGGACTGGAACCCGGATCTTGCAGGTCCCCCGGCCCACTCACTGCCCCCCCCACGTCAGCTCCTTTGAGAGAGGGAGCGCCAAATGACCGGCTCTTCCCCCGCCACCCAGGACCCCAGCACGAGAGCCCCGAGCGAGGGGATCCGTGTCGCCACCCGCTCCCACCCAAGCATCCTCCCTCGCCCGCCGAGGAGGCCTGTCCGATCTGCACCGCCACATCCCTCTGGTTGGGCAGGACGGGCGCCGTGTTCCAACGCCCCAGAGGGCCCCAGGGCGGGGGCACGCGGGTTTCGGAGGCTGCGCCCTGCCTGGAGAGCCCGCCTCGATGCGGGCCGCGTGTCCAGAGGCGCTTCCCGGTCCCTCCGCTCCTCCAGCTCTGCCTCCCCAGCAGCCTGTAGACCCGGCAGATCCTGCATTGCCCAGCCGGGCAAGCTCGCTCCGCCAGGCGGGAGGTCTGCCCCTTGTCCCACTGGGGCCGGTGGGGGCGCTGCTGGCGGCTGCGAAGGTGTGGGGGTGGCCGAGGAGGCGGCCGTGTCAGGGCCCCCCCAGCCCTCAGGGGCTCCTGCCGGCAGCGGAAGTGCATTTGTGGCGAAGCTGCCCTGGATGGCGGAGCTGCCGCCCTTCTGGCCTTGACCAAAATATGTCCCCCCCCCCACACTTTTTTTTTTCCTCAATCCCTTCCTCTCCAATATGTTCATTTTACCATTAAGATTATTTTCCCCTTTTCATTTTTCCAGGTCTGGATTTGTTTTCCTTCCTTCAAAGTGAAAACCAGGTATGTTTTCTTTCGCTCATCCTGTCCCTCCTCCTTTCTCTTTTCTCATCCATCTCCTCCTCTGGACCCCACAAGTCACCTCCTTCATCAGACCTGTGTAAAAGCCATAAAAGAGACCCCCAGTGCCCTGCTCCTTTCCGCTTAAGCAGCCCAGCTTTTTGCTTCCTCCCGAACCCAGCAGGCTCCTTGCCCTTCCTAACGATTTCAGTCTCGGCCGAGATGAGGCCAGTTCAGCCCTTCTGCAGCACCTGCCTTCCTTCGAGGCTGAGGACCTTGTCCTGGATTTAAATCATTTCCAGAACTGTTACGGGAAACTGTAATAGCAGGTGGGCCTGAGGCCCTGTAGAAAACAGTCCGTCTTTCTGAACAGGTGACATTACCTGTAAGCCCCCCAAAGGACTTTGGTTATTGGTGGGGAGCCGAGAGGATTTGTGAGACCTCGGATCTGGACAGTCGTTTTGCTCCAGTTTAGTACAGCTGAAACTCTTCCAGGAGGCTAGTTTTGAGCTCACCCGCTGGGGAGGTGTGCAAAGCTTGCTGCGAAGTCGCTCTCTCCAACAAAGGGTTTCTCTTGGCCACTGGCAGTCAAGAGAAGCCTTCCAGCAGCTGGGCATGCTAGATCAGAGTCTGCGAGGCCGAGATGGGAGCAAAGCGACCGTCACGACGTTTGGGGCTTGGCGGTATCCGGGAGGCCTCTCTCTCTCTGCCGGGTTTTTGTCGTCCTCCACTGTGGCTGCCTCCCTGCTCAGAAAGCGCTGGGAGAGGCGTCTTCCCTGCCTCCGTGTTTCCTGAGCGGTGCTGTTCCCACGTCTGCTTTGGGCAGTCGTGGGTGCACGGAGTGGGACCTTTCAGCCCCTTCCGGCAGGAAGGGAAAGGGCCTTGTTTGCTTCAGAGGTGAAGCAGCCCAACGGGGAGGGCGGGTGCTCATGTTGGAGAGAGGAGGTTGTCTGCAAAGGCCTCTGCGAGCTGGAAAAGCTCTTCCGGTGCGAGTGCAGAGTTCTGCAAAGCACGCATCTTTGGCGGCAGCCCCCACGCAGGACACCTTTGCCCAGGAGGGCCGGGTGAGCCACAGCGACGGCCATTTGCTGCATGCGGCGGGGGGAAATACTGGCGCTGGGCAGGTGTTGGCACAAAATGCAGCCGCTCAAGCACTGGCTGGCACCGTGCTGGTGCGGGAGGGTCTCCTCTGCAGGGCTGTCGGTGGGCGTGTGAGCCGTCGCGTCCATGTTCCGGCCCGTGAAGCAAATGGCACCTTGGAGGGGGTGGGGGGAGGGTGAAGCACCCCGACCCCGTGCCGCTCCTCCTGCTGGCCCTGCAGCCCCTCTGCAGCTGCATTGATTAAGTGAGCAGCAGACCAATCTGGCGACGGCCTCCGGCCCTTGCGGCACGGGGCACGGGGCATTTCTGCAGCCTCGGTGGCTCCCCCGCGGCGGCGGCCGCCCCGTTTGCCCCGAGAAAGACACTAACCGGCGCCTTCTCCGTCCTCCTCCGGCAGCATTACAGCCCTTCCGTGATCACGCCCCTGGATGAGCCGGACTCACTGAGCCACTTCTTCCAGTACCGCGGCACCTCCCCGCACTTCATGAACCCCCTCGCGCCGGTGGTGGTGGGCTCGCACAGCGCCGTCAGCTCTCCCACCGGCAGCCGCATGAACAGTGTCGTGTCCTCCCCGCCCACGGCCCTGCGGGAGGGCCACGCGCACAGTGGCGCCGTGGGGGGCAGCCCGGTTTTGCCGGGGTGCCGGCCGGATATCATCTCCCTGGACTAACCCTCCACGCGAGCACAGACTCTTCGTGCCGCTTCGTCCCTCCTGGTTGAAGAAACGAACAGCAGCGTTTGGCAAGCCGGGGCCCCGCGGGCACTTCGGGAGGAGGCGCATCCTGCAGAGAGCGTGGTTCCTGCCGCGGGCACTTCGGGAGGAGGCACATCCTGCAGAGAGCGTGGTTCCTGCCGCGGGCGCCGCACTTCTGCACGAGGGCTGGAAAACAGCGTTTGGCTCGGGCCGTTTTCAGAGCCCCGTGTTTCTGGGCTCGAGAGGAGTGTGCGGTCCCTGTCGGTGAAATCTCGGAGGACTGCGGAAAGAAGATTTTATTTCCATCCGTGGCTGGGGCTTCACCATCCGGTAGCTTCAGGATCCATTATGCAAATGAGCCAGTCATCTGCATAATCGATTCCACATTACGGAGTTCTGCTTCATTTCGAACATGAGCCCTGGGTTTTATTTAGGCAAGATCTGATGTGAGGCGCCTTAACGCCTCTGCGCAGGAGACAGCAGCACCTTGATTTTAATCCGCTAGTGTTAGAGTTGGCCATCTTTGCCACCTCCTCCGTAGCAGCGGGTGATTAAAGGGAACCGGTTCAAACCTGCCCGAAGATGCACAACTTTTCCAAGTTTTACAGAATCCTATTGTGGGGAGGACCTGGGCGGGTTGAAAAGTTGTATGGACTTGAAAGCCGTGTAAAGATCTGCCCGCCAAAGTCTCCCCCCACTCCTGAATGCCCTGTTCCGTTTTATTTCCCCAGCATATTGGCCGAACTTGCTTTCTGGGGGCAACTGGCAGCTGGTTACAGGGAAGTCTGGATTGCTTATCTGGTCGCAGTTCTGCCAGTTGGCATGTAATGCGGAACCAGGTCATGCCCACAGGCCAAGAGAAGGGAAAGCCGGGGGAGAAAGAGCCGGAGCTGCCTGGTGTGCGTGATTGCTGCAGTTCACCATGGCTTAGTAAAGCCACGGGTTGCATCATCCCTTGAGCATTCAAGCCGCCATGGCAGCTCACCCTTGCTCAAGCCCTAAAACAAGCTACGGGTTATGCAAGGGTTGTGTAACCCTTGTACAACCCAGCCCCCAGCCCTCGCTTCAGCTGGCACAGCGCTGCTTGTGCCTTGAATATCCCGAACGCCTGCCTGCATTTATCAAGACTCAGCGTGGCTTAAATAAACCTGCCCTGCGGGGGGGGGGGGGTGGGCACTGGGTCAGCTTGCCCAGTCAAACTGCCCTGGGGTTTATTTAGTGAAGCCAAATAATAGCGTGATCGTGCAAAGCAGCCCCGCGTTCCTCCTCGTGGGACGCTCTCAAATGCGAACTGGTTTTCAGGAAGCCAGCCCTACCTTTGGGTGGAGTAATGTGTACTGGTGTCCTCAGGACAATTTTTGCAAAAACACGACGAGAAGCATCCCCCCCCGCGCCACTTCTCACCCTGCCGTGGTCCAGATGTCGACCTGGTTGGCACATGATGCCGCTCCATTCTTTATTCACCCCTTGGTGGTTGTGTTCCGGATGGCTGTGACATGGGCCATGACATGGCTGTGTGAAGTAACCGTGGCTTGTTGACGGTGGACGACCCGGAAAGAGGGTTCATTCTGGGGGCTGGGGGTGGGTGACGAGCTGCAGAGGGTTTGGAGCATGGGTTCTTGTTGCATCTGAATCCAGAACTGGGTGCTTCACAGGCATTCTGCCAGAATATGGGGCGGGGGGACTGCCCCTGCCTGCCGGTTTGCAGTGCCACAATGGGAGTTAAAATATAGGGAGAGAGCAGACAAAGGAGGGCGGAAGCAAACAACCGGGGATTGCAAACGATCTGCCAGAAAACCTAGGCAGCAAACCAGGGGTTAAAGAAGCCATGGGTTAGTGTTACGTATGAACCAGGCCACTGAGTGATGTCTTCGACTCTCAATTCACTAGGTTCTTGGAGGAGAAATATTTGGCAGGAGGCAAGCTCCGAGTCTTGGCCAGCGCCCTCCCAAGCGTCGCCCTCTTCCCAGCATCTTCGCTGTGAAGCTGCTGTGCTGTGTTGGATCAACATAGCAATGCAGATACAGATGCAATACTAACCTGCGCGAACTCTGGTGGTGCTCGAAGTGCGAAGCAGCCCCTTCCAGGGACATCCGGAAGCGGTTTGCATGAACAACGAAAGGCCTTCGCCTTGAAATGAAGGTTTCGTGGAAGTTGGGGCACTTGGTTGAAGAAGGGCTGGCAAGCAGTGGGCACGGTCAGGCGGGGACGCTCCCAGCTGCGGCTTCCTTGAACGCTGGGGAGCGCGCACCAGGTCGCCAGAGGGCTCGGCCACGCGCCTCTGCTGCGCACAGCACTCCCTCGCGGGCCTGGACACGTCGGGGTGCCACTGGCTGCTTCCGGCGCGCCCGCCGGGCCCGCACAGCTGCCCTCTGGTCCCTCCGCCAGTGGCGACGGCCGCGGGCTCTGCCCAGCCTCCAAACTTGTGATCGCAATGTATTTTTTTAAACTGTAGATCTGGCATTTCCACCCGTCCTCTTAAAATATTTCTTTACCAGTCTTGTACAGAAAACAAAAGATATATATAGATATATATATATTATAATAATAATCTATATTTTCAGTTTTGTACATATGCAACTCCAAAGATTTTCCTGGGTTTTCCTCTGTCCTGAAGACGAAATGAAGGTTGTGTCGCCTTCCCCACACCCTGGGGGCAGGGCAGCGCATCGTCCGTTGCACACCTTATTTATGTATTTAAGTGTATAATTGTGTGTGTGTGTATTCAGTCTGCAGCAACTGCTTCCACGTTTCCTGCTTCACGCACCCATGTCTTGCTCCATCGCACCCCCGCTTTCTCCAGACCCACCAGGTCTCGCCGTGATGTGAGAGGCCGCCTGGAAAAGGTAAACCGACCCGACCAGAGCCGAGCACTTTTAGAACCCCTCTGGGCTTCAGTGGGAGAACTGGGATGTTCCCTCATTGGGAGTACTGGGAATGAAGTTTGTTTCAAGATGAGATTTGGCGGCTTTGCAGCCTTAGAAAGCTCTCCTCTTCTCCAATCTTTGAAAAAGTTTTTAGTTGACTCTCTGAAGCCTCTGCAAACCAGAATCCCAGACGTCAGAAGTGCGTTTTGTTCAGAGACCCCCATCGAAATGTGCGACCGCCTCTTCCCCGGATCTCATGACGGGTGGCGGCGCCTCAGAGAGGGCCTTGGATGGCTTCTGTACAAACTGTGGCAGTTTGGAGTAAGGGACCGTGCGCTTGTGCCCCAGAAGCCCTGCGCTTGGGACCGTGAGCACAGGAATAGGCAGGCGGCTCGCCCGATTCGGTCGCCCGGCATTGCTGAGCCTGCTGCCCCCCGGTGTTGGTGCGTGCTAGGCGTTGTAGTCCCCCCACAACTGAAGGGCGCCAGGCGTGGCAGGGCCGTCTGTGGGCACCACACTGGCAGTGGGAAACACGGTTCCTAGCACCTCTGGCTCGGGGGATCCCGAGCGCGAGATCGCTGCACGGCGAGGGGCCTCCCCGGCTTCCGTGCCGGTGCCCCGTGCGCTGCACCCGGCTTTGGCTGGGTTCAGGTTTCTTCAAGCAGGGCGGGGGGGCCTGAGGGGGGGGGGGGGGGGGGGGGGGGATGCCCGAGGAAGCCACGTAGATGCCATCTGGCCCACCTTCTCACTGAAGCTCCCTTTGATGGAGTGGCTTTGCTTCGGCCTCTTCCCTGCCTCCTGGTAGTTTTGCTCGGGCGCTTGAGAGGGTGTGTTTGCATCTTGCCGGCTCCCGTGCTCCATTTTTCAATATTTAGCGTGTGGATGGTTGATTTTTATCTCACTTACGGATTTGCATTTGTAGAACAAGGGATGTGGGGCGAGAGTGTTGTTCATTGCATAAGTGGCCAGAAAGAACTCTGTGCTTTTAGGGGTATCCCTTGTCACTCCAGAAATCAGGAGGTGATCGGTTTGGGGTTTTTTCTCCCAAAGCATCAACTTAGAGGAGCCCTTTACCTTTTGGAGGCCCTTAGACCCGAGGATTAATGTCACTCGCAGCAGAACCTGAAATGAGTGGGGCTTCAGCTAGACGTGACTGATTCCAGTTCTCACCCAGCGGGGCCGTGGCCAGTTCAGCCCCTTGCTAAACAATTACGATTTTCAGATTAACTGGTCCTTGCAAGGCTGGACCGCCGAAAACATTTGCTTCCTGTCTGCTCTCCATTTTGAGAGTGTCTCCTTTTGTTAGAACAAGAAAACAAGTTTCTTGTAGTTTGGGAGGAAACGCTGAAACGTGCAGATCATGTCTGTGTGAGCTTTGGAAGGCCGAGCTGACGCTCGCGTACGTCGCAGCCCCTTCTCCCTAAACGGCCAGCCTTCTGAACGCTCCACATCTCTCTCCATTTCTCGCGGGCATTGCCAAAACATTCCAGACCTCTGGAAGCAGGACAGCCTGGGAGAGGGGCAGCGTGTGGCGCTCCATGTCCCGCGCATGCTCTGCGCGTTCTCCGAGTTGGCAGCAGGGTGGTTCGCGGGGGGAGCCTGGGCTCGGCTCGGCCTCCTCTCCTCCTGTTTTTGTGCATTGGCTTGTTTAGGAAAGATTCAGGGCCGAGGGCCTTGTGAAGGAGGTGCAAATTAGGCAGACATGTAACTATAGTTTGTACATATTAATGAGCTGACTGAGACAAGGTGGGCCAGCGAGTTCTGCTTTTCCTTTTGATACACTTTTTGAAACAAAAATTCGCTTGCCAGGCGATTCTCTGTGCAGCCCTTTTGAACAGAAAAGGGAATGCCTTGCAGAACTCGGTCGGTCCTTCCTCTTCCGGTTTTATTTATTCTGTCTGTCAGATTCCTTGTTTTATCGACTTGGAGCCATTGTGTATACGCAAAGTACCTTTTTAAATAAAATGAAATCTTGGCAAAACCGACCGGATGCCATCCAGAGGGTTCTTGGGGGCTGCGGGGAGCAACTCGTCCTCGGGCTGGGGGTATCTCGGAGCGGAGGCCTGGCGAGTCAGCTGATGAGCCACTCTCGCCATGGCCACCCTGCCCTGAACAAAAGCAGTCCTCGGCCGGAACATCTGGGGCACCGCCTGCTTCTAGCATTCAGCAGCCGTTGCCGAGGACGAGGCGCCCACCCCCTTCTCGAGGCTCCCTCAGCATCCAGCTGCCCCCCGAGGGAGAAGCAGGCCACTGCAACCCCCTCCGGCAGGCAGGTGCCCGCCAGGTGTGTGGGGATGCTGGGTGCTGGAGTCCCACGCACCTGGAGGGCACAGGTTCAGGGAGGGCAGGTTGCTTAGCTCCACCTTCAGCTGAATACGATGATGGTGCTTTTCCTCCTCCTGCAGGGAACCCAGGCAGCTTTCCCACTTCTCACCTCTGTTTTAGCATCTCGACAACCACCCTGTGAGGTAGACTAGGCCGAACTTCAGCAGTTGGCCCAAAGGCACCCAGTGGGGACTAGAGCCAGGCACCACACTGGCTCCGACCAGGAGTTTTCTGCTTCCACACCGTTTATTTACAGGTTGTTTGCCCTGCTCTCCGGCCAAAGCGTGCCCAGAGAGGCTTCCTAGGACTAAGACGCGATGCAAGAAGCGGGCAGGACTGGGAGGGAAGAGGGAAGGCCAGCGTCGTCCGAGGGAGATCGTGCAGCTTCCCAAATGTTCGGCGAGGCTCCGCAGCTCAAGCGGTTTGTGCGGCTACCGTGTCCAGCCACAGCCGCAGGGCGAACTTGGTCCCCGTGCTGACCCGTTCCACATCCTCCCCTTCAGCCGGAGCGGAGTTGAGGAACGTCGTGCCGGGGACCGCAACGCTCTTGGCCACGCCGTTGTCCAGTTCCGTAATGCTGTTTGGGCGGCAGAAGAGGATGCCAGCTAGTCCCACGCCTCCTGGGAGGGGGGCTGCTCCTCCCGACCCTCCACCCGCTCCCACTGGGTGCCCTGAGCCCCCCCCCCCCAAAGCGGCATCGGTAAGGGCGCTCCGCAGTGCATCCAGCCCTGCCTGTGGAGAACCGCCTTCCAGCACCCCCCCCCCGCCCCCCGGGCAGCACTTAGGGCAGAGGTGGGCAGCTCAGCTGGGCAAGGGCAGACGCGGGGGATGCCAGGCTGGCCGGCCCAGCAGCCTCGCTTAGTCGGGTGTCAAGCGAAGGAGAGCCAGGCGTTCCAGACGAGGTCCGGTGCGCGGACAGTGGGAAGGGAGACGCTGCCCCAGACTTCGAGGGACGTTGGTCCGGTCCCACGTCGGGGTTTCTCAGGGTTACGAGTGTCATCCCCGCTCCGCAAAGGGGGCCAGGCTGCATTTGGGTGGGGAAAAAGGGGGCTGCTGCGGATGCGAGTCCTGCCCATTTGGGGACCGGGAGCAAAGCCGCTTCCCGAGCAGCGCCACTCCCGACGTGCTGGACTACCACTCCCATAATCCTAAGAAGGGTGGCCCAGCACGGGGGGCGGGTGCCAGGCAGGGGAAGGCGCCCGCAGGCAGTTCCTTTTGGCGCTGCACTGGCCGCTGTCCAGTTTGCTGACTTTTCACTGCTCTGCGGAAAACAGAGAAGTTACTCACCCAGCTGAGCAGAAGAGGAGGAGGGGATGGGCGACGGGGCCCCGGTTCTGCACCCGGAGGGTCTCAGACCCCGGGGGGGGGGCAGTTTTTCCATCCCGCTGCAAGCAGTGTGGTGGCCACAGCAATCGAGTCTCCGGGAGACACCTTCTCGAAGCAAAGCCCAACTCTGCAAAATGTGGGGCTTGCCTGGCCCTGGGTGGGGTGGGGTGGATCAACCAGGGGCTGAGGGGCGCGGTGCGGTCTGGGCTTTCCAGGCCCCCCATGTACCTGATCGTTGGTGGAAGAGCCCCAGCCGTCTTCCTGGCCCCATCTCCAAGCCTGTCTTCTGTGGCCGCTATCACTTCCAGGAGGTGGGGCTCCAGCCAGGCATAAGCACTCACTTCCGCTTCATCTGGCTTCATTCTCGCCTGCAATGCAACACCCAGCACAATGAGGGCTCTGGGTCCCCGGGCACGAGGCTTGCCCTCTCTCGCCCTTCCTCGGATATCCAGAAACGAGGGTCGGCGGATCTCGGGTGTGTGCCCCTTCGCGCTCTCCCGCCTCCCTTTGTCCCAGGCAGGAGGTTTGGAGGGCAGCCTTCTGCTCCTTGGGCCTGGAATGGGGAGCTGGAGGCCCAGTCGCCTGTCCCTGACAGGCGGTGCAGAAAGAGAGCGCACAGCTGCTTCTCCAAGCTCCGGAAACCAACTTAGATGGGGAAAGGGGGCAATCCAGTGGGTGGGGCAGGGAAGAGCAGGCTGTTCCAGTGCAGCCAAGCTCAGGGAACCAAGATTCCGGGTGGGTGCCAGGAAGTCCTTCGGTATGGAATGGGCTTCCCCGGTTGGTTGTTGAGGCCCCATCAGTGCGGGTGTTCAAGGATAGGCTGGACATGCACATGGTGGGCATGTCGTGAGCGGAGCCACCTGGAGCCGGGGGTCAGACTAGATGGCCCAGGAGGCCCCTTCTGACTCACTCTGTTCCTATGTTTCATCCAGTGGGGCGTAGGAATGTTAGAAGCTTCCAAATTCTGGACCTTCCAAGCAGCAAGTGTGCAAGCCAGAGGTTTCTAAGCAAGCCACGGTTCTCTGTTACATCAAAACTTGGGGATGGCGGTTTGTTGAAACTATAGTTGCATCAAGCCAGCGTTTCCTGGTCATAAAATAGTGTTTCAAGCAGCTCTAGGGAAGCCATGATTTACAGCTCCTGGAACATGTCTGACTGGCCATATTGGGTGAGGATTCTGGGAGTGTGAGTCCAACAACATCTAGACAGCTGCAGGCCTGCACCATGCCAGCCTCCCGCTTAAAGGTATTTTTCGGCAGAGGCCATTGTTAAAAACTAAAGTCAGGAGGGGCGGAAGCCTGGCAGGTGCCATGTGACGGGCCCCGTCTTCGAGCAGCCAAGCCGCAGCGGCGCCCAGCGGACACCCAGCCCAGGCTCCCCCGGCGGCTCCTGGACCCTCACCTGCAGCTGCTGCGGCATCAGGTGCGAACACAACAGGAGGTACACGACGACGTGGTGGCGTTTCGGCAAACCCCGGCTCAGCCTGGGGGGGTACGTGGACTGCCGGGGGGATGAGAAGTGGGGAAAAGGCTCAGAGGGTGCCCGCCCTGCCCTCGCACTGCCACCCCCACCCCGTCCTGCCCTGCCGGCCTGTCGCAGAGGCAGGCAGGGCTCCCCTCGAGGGGCCCTCGCTCAGACCAGGGCCGGAGCCCCCCAGGCCTCTGCCCACTCTTGGGGTCCCGGGAAATTAACTCCCCGAAGGACGGGCCTCTCGGGAAAGCTGCGACCGTGCTCCGATTACAGTTCTGTGAAGCACCTCTGGGCCAGGCACAAACTCCTGAGCTAACCTATCTGACAGGGTGGTTGTTGCAAGGATGAAGTGGAGCCACGTAAGCCGTCCCCTGGGTCCAGGCGTGGCCTTCCAGCCACAGCCCGCCAGAGGCCTTTCGGAGGTGCCTGGTGGCCTTACCTCCCACAGGGCCAGCGTGTGCCAGGAGAACTCCCCCCGGTGCAGCCACAAGCCCGTCTCCTCTCGCAGCTCCCGCAGTCCAGCGTCCAGCAACTGCAGACCAGAGAAGGCAGGTGGGAGCGGAGCCCGCATGGCCCCGTGGGGCTCACGCCAAGCCCTGCAGCATGCCTGAGAGGCCAGCAGGCGTACATGGAGAGGAGGACAAGGAGAGCCCTGGAATGGGGCAGAGGGAGCCCCATCCCTTGGGCCCCACACATTTTAGGTCTAGGAGTGACCTTGGGGCAGGCCCGGGGGCCTAATTTTAGGGACCTACCCTGACAAATTGGGGAGAGGCAGATATTGCTGGTCAGAGACCACCACCAGTCGCTCCCCAAATACATCAGTGTCCCACACTTTTAGCGAGTGCCACTTGCAGGATTTAAGACCTTCATGAGGACTAGAAACTTTTCCCCATTTCAAAACAAAAACAGAGCTTGGGGATACGGTTCTTTTCCAGGCAGCTTTGAATGCCCACCAGTCCATCCCCATCTGATGCCCACTCTTGGTGCACCTGTGCGCCCCAATTTATCAGTGTCCAGCGGAAAATATTTTTTCTGACTTTCAATCACCTCTTTTTATAGACTGTGTCAACTGTCCAGACAGCATCACTGTGAGTGGTACAGGAATGCGACAAACAAATAAACAGGGTCATTACCTGCTCATCCGGTTCGATGTGACCACCTGAAAGAAGAAGAGAAAACCTCCAGTTTCTGACAGTGCCGATCATGCCTCGGATCCCCGAAGCCCGGCACTTCATTCGGAGGGTCTGCAGTTCTGCTCTTAGTATGACAACCACACAGAGGTCCCCGCCGTGACCTCTCCCAACTGCTCTTTGCCTGGATGCTGCGGCCCACGTGCGAGGCAGCCCTCTGGTGCCCCTTCTGAGGGCAGAGGCTTCTCAGTGGCAGCCCCCCAATTCTGCCCCACTGAGGTTTGCCTGGCACCAGTTAAGCCCCCCAGCAAGGTATCTTAAACTTCCCAAGATGCTCGACGGCTTGAGGGAAGCATTCCTGTCAGGTGTTTTCAGAGGCACGCTTTGTGTTAAATGTTTTAGCTGGTTTTGGGGGAAATGGTGGTTTAGCGTATTGCGGCCGTCTTTTAGGGGCGGATGTGAAGCCCTAGAGAGCTTCAGGGGAGTGGCTTCCCGGACTTTCCAGGATTGGAAGGAGTGAAGCAGCATGTGGGGGAAAGGACAAGAATCCGTGCGAGCCCCACGTGGGCTGGGAAGACAGTCCTGGGCTGAAACGTGCCGGAGCTGCTAGAGCTGCACAATTTCTCCCTCTGAACAAACGCTGCCCAGCCCGTCAGAGCCGAGGGAGAAGCACCTGCCCATGTACAGAGCTGAATCCAAGTGGGGATCCTCGGCCTGCCCCCGCTTTCTGTGGCTCTCGGTGCTTGAGGGCAAGATAGTGGGTGTGCCGGAGACCCCTTCACGGGGCAGCCTGTTCCTCCTGGCACCTCCTTGCGGGATCAGGGACTGGGTCCCACATCCGCTAATGCTTCCGCCCCTTCCAAAGCAGGCCGGTTCCCACACTCGGCCCGAAAAACCTCAGCAGGTGACCCTAAAGTCCCCCCCTTGCACCTCTACTCCGCAGAATCAGACTTTATCTGAACAGTCCGTCGTGAGCAAGAGGGAGGCCCCCTTGGCGCAAAAGAGGCCATTTCGACTATTTAAGAAAGGGAAAAAGCTGTCCCAGCACTGGGAAACAGCCGAGCAAAGGTGGCTGGGGAAAGGACGTCCGAGGAACTGCTCAGGGAGCGGATGGGGAGCCACGTGCCTGGAGTGCGCTGGGGAGGCTTCCTCCTCGATTAGGTGAAGGGAAGCTACCGCCTGCCACCACGGATTGCTGCCAGCCGGCTAGCCAGCAGACGGAGCAACGCAGCTGCCCTTAAATCCAGCTTCTGGGTGGAACAGGCCCCAATCCTGGAACGTGGGCACACGTTCCAGCAGAACCAGGCAGCACCCGAGCATTGCAAGACGAGGGACCCGCTGGGGGCGGCCTGAATGTGGGGCTGCCAGCTTGAGGAGGGAAGGCGGTCACAGCTCCGCAGAGAATCTTCCTGCTTGAACCAAGCTGGAGCGTCGCTTGGAAAGCAGGCCTGGCGTCCAAAGGGCAACCAGCAAAGTCTGGCCCTCCGAGTCTCCTCGGTGACACGGTTGGCTTGAGAAGAGGGTGGGGGGCGCAGGCGGGCAGGACCCCCCTGCCCGTGGAGGGCGGAGGATGTGGCTTCCACAACCCTTTCCACCCCTGAGATTCCGAGAAGGCCTCCCATCAGACCAGACACGCACCTGTCGCCCCTTCTGTCTGAGCCTTACCTGGAGGGACCCAAAGGTTGGGGAAGATGCTCATGTTTCTGGACCGCCGCGTCAGCAGCACCTCCTGGCTGGCGGCCTGCAAGAGGACCGCCACGCCCACGTCCACCCCTCGCTCGCGGGTCTCCTTGGGAAGGGACGCGGCTTGTGCTTCGCTGACATGCTTGATGGGGCAGAAGGACGGCCGCTGCGAAAGGAGGGCGAGAGATGCAGGAGGCAGGAGCTGGGGGAAGTCGCACGGCCAAGGATGCAGCGCTTTTGAAAGGGATGCGCCTGGCGCCCTCTTTGTGCGCCTTTCAGTGCCAGGCCAGGTGGAGACCTTCTTAGTGTCCAGATAGTTTAATAGACATGAGCTGCTTCAGTATTATTGTTACAGCCATGACATGTATCAATTTTATTGTGGTTGCTGCAGTTGTTGATCTTGCATTGGTTTTACTGTCTTATAAAAAACCAATAACATAATATTTAATATGTCCTTTACATTTATAAACCACCCAGAGAGCCTGCCCAAGCTACGACCGGGCACCAGTTCTTTCCTCTTCCGTCCCAATTCCTTTTCCTTTTGTGCCATGTCTTTTCAACTGCAAACTGGAAAACAAGGACTGGCATATGATTACTCTGAGTAAGCTTCTTTGAGACCCTTTTCTGGCTGACAGGCAATGAAAATACAGCAAATAAAATTAGAACTACTGAAGGGCAGAGCTGGCTGGGACTTTGGCGGTCTTCTACGGGCACCTGCTTGCTGCAAGGCCAGGGTCCGTCCAGCCATGGCTGGGAGGGTGTCTCCTCCCTTCCCACCTACCTGCAGAAGGACCCTGCTGGATCCGGGGAAAGCCTGGTCAGAAATGAGGAAGCGGTGCTGGTCCAGGCCGCAGTTCACCACACACTGGTCCTCGTGCGCCGCGCAGAAGTGACCCACGATGCTCTGGAAGGAGAGGAGGGCTGTGCAGCATCTGCCACTGCTCGGCCTTCTGCAAGCGGCCGGGAGTGCTTTAAGGAGTCGCGGAGGACCTGCAATTGACTTAAAGCTGGAAAATCTGCTGGTGTGCGGAACAGCGGCATCTTCTCTTCTGAACTCCCAGAGAGCTGGATGGCAGATGAATTTGTGGGCCTGACTGTATTGGTTGTGCTTTATTTTACACATACTTCTCTTTTTTGTGTATTCTGTTTATGTCAAGAGAACGCAAAGACACAGATGGGGCCCGGGCACTGCAGTGAAGCCGGAGCCGGCCCGGCGGCGGTAGGGGCTGGTTTCGTGGCGAGCTCGGCTTCCCAGCTCCCGCGCCGGGGAAGGCGAGCAGGCAGCCGCGGCTGGGGCCGGCCTGGCGAAAGCGCGCCGCCGGGCGGAGCGGCCTCCCGGGGGGCTTTCGCGGAGGGAGGCGCCCGGCTCGCTCGGCGGAACCCCGTGGCCGCGCCCGGGGGCTCCGGCGGGGTCCAGACCGCGTCCCGGCTCGGCGGGCCCCCTCGCCACTCCCGCAGCGCAGCTGCGGCCCCACCTCTCGCGCGCGGCTGGGGACGCTGGGAGCTGTAGTCCCGCGCGCGCGCCCCGGGGAGGGGGGGG